TGAAAAAATCTAAGAAACAGTAGAAAACAAATTAAAATACCCTAACAAGCCCCATTCTCTACAACATCTTAGTCTTACTAGCTTACTTCAATCATAAACCACGTCCCAGTAGGCTCAGGATTCGACACAATAAAAAATCACAAGAAAGCTGTCAGTAGCACTTGTTGTAATCCATCTCATTTGGTAAGTTTTTGATTAAAAATCTGTTGCTTGAGAATATATTAAAAAAGAGTTGTATAAAACAATAGGCGTTGATAAATTGTTTAAATTTTTTTTATTACCAGATTTTAAATAAAAAAACTTTAATTACGAATATTTTGAGTTAAGTTCAATATCCAATAAAACCACAATAATAATTCAAATATATCAAATAAATCAGGTGCATCAAGATAAATTTTCACTACTTTAACATAAAATTATTAAAATGAAGAAACTAAGCTAATATATAATATTATAAAATTTTAGAAGCCCACATAGTTTTAAATGACTTCGACTGACGTTGACTCCAATAATAACAATCTATCAGAAATTGGTATTGCGGCTCCATTCATCTACAAATCTACTCAAAAAAACAGAATTTTGATACTTGCGGCCTTTAATCAGTATATTAAAAGACTACGTGACGACTAAATAAATTCGATTATGGAGAATCCTTGCTAAAATTTAAATCATTATCGTAAATTGCTATCTCGGACTTTGCAATGTAGATTTCCAATATTATTCAGTTATTTGTTGATTTTATTTCCCAGAAAGAGGTTACGCTGTAGAATATCGAAATGTAGTATTTTGTACAATAAGTAACCTAGTCCTTGGCAAAATTTTCAACTCAAAAAGCCATGTTGACCCTGTAATAACTAATGATTCGCAGTAAAAATGGATAGTAAAATTTTAGATCTGCTTAGACCAAAAGTTAGTTTGTTTATTAAGAGAAAAACGGAACGTAAAGCAAAATTACAAGAGCGGAAAATGAGGTTTCACTTTTCTTAATTAAAGGAAATACAGTCAATGACCTATCCAGAATTACTGCTTTCGAATAAAACTTGTTTTAAGTAATGCGCTCTCTCAAGGAAAAGTGACTTCATATACCACCTAATTAGTACGTACGGTATGTGTAAATTTCTGTTGAAGGAACCACGCATTATCATTACCTTTTTCTAGAAGATCGAAAAATTACGTAGGTAAATATTTTATATGGATTTGATTCATTTGACTTGCCAATTCCTGAACTAGGTTTTCAGGAATTTTTTTTATACCTACCTTTATTTATAACTTCTCATTGAAATTGTGCGTCACCATCGTGTTTTTGTTTATAAAATATTTCAAAGCTGAGGGTAGAACCATTATCATATCGTCTGTCGTCGGGTGTCATAGCCACTTTACTTAGAGGGTATTAGCAAAGCACATGGCAACAGTTTATTTCTTATCCATGGAAACGATACAAAAACTACTTTAAATACGTCAAAAGGAATCCGTATTTAATTAATTTATTAATTCGTAATTATTATTAATTAGTTCTATACGAGATATATATATATATAGAGTGAGATGAGGACTGCCAACGTGACCTGGAGTGATGTCAAGGAGCAAGCGCAAGACAGGGTAAAGTGGAGACAACTTGTGAGGGCCCTATGTACCAGCGGGGTACCCTAGGACTACAACAACAACAACAACAGTTCTATACGACCGGCCCGTCCAAATGTTCGTAAGAGCCCTAGACACGTCCTTACGGATCCATCAGATCCAATAACCTTTGCATTAGACGCCTTCAGCTCTAACACTAGGAGCAGGCTTAGGGACCTCGGTAACCGTACTCGTCAAACTCGACAAAGAGTTCGCCGTGCAACCTAACCCATGAATCAGCTCGCTGAGTTTCTCGCCGGATCTTCTCAGCGGGTCGCGATTCCGATCCGGTAGTAAATTCATTCGCGAAGCAGCTACTCTTGAGCTGTTAGGTCTCCTTCGGAGGCGCTCGGGTAGCTGTTAGCAAATCCCACCCCTCCTGGCTGAGCCTTTGCTCGCCCACCTNAACTCGACAAAGAGTTCGCCGTGCAACCTAACCCATGAATCAGCTCGCTGAGTTTCTCGCCGGATCTTCTCAGCGGGTCGCGATTCCGATCCGGTAGTAAATTCATTCGCGAAGCAGCTACTCTTGAGCTGTTAGGTCTCCTTCGGAGGCGCTCGGGTAGCTGTTAGCAAATCCCACCCCTCCTGGCTGAGCCTTTGCTCGCCCACCTGTCCTGGTGAAACTGGAAAGGCCTCCGGGCCACCAGTAATCCTTCAAACATAAAAAAAAATGTTCGTAAGAGAATATCTAGTGATATATTTGTTTTGATAGAAAGATACCGTTTGGCCTTGGGGGCTTACGGCTTGACTGGGATGGGTGTACGAGCAGGGGGTGGGCGGCTTGGCTCTATCCCTAGCATTGCTGAAGTCCATGGGTGACGGTAACCATTCACCATCAGGTGGGCCCTATGCTCGTCTGACTACAAGGGTAATAAAAAAAACGAGCTCGAGGGCTCACCCCTGACGAGAAAGCTTCCTAACAACTGCCAGAGCGCTCCGAAGACCTAAAGGCGCAAAGCTAGCAGATCATGATCAGCTGATAGACCGTCCTGCCGGTAATTTTCTTGTATAAGTGCTGTCATACAGTTGAAACAGATAATAGTTAGTTTTTAACTGGTAATAACGACTTAATTTTTTTTTATATTTATAATATTAAGACCTATATTATTGATACTATAGCCACATTTCGGCTTTTCCTTTGTGGGACATAATTTGTATTATCACATAATTTATACGTAATTAATAATAATTTAATTAATAATATTAATATTATTTTATTTTATAATTTGTACATATAAACGTAAAAGTAAAGTATATAATATACATCTGTATATAAAGAGTTGTAGTTTCAGATTTTTATATCTAAATCATATGCATCTATAATTATGTATTCCTTTTTAGAAGTAACTATTTATATTATGAAATAGCCATAAGAATAGAGTAAAGGGGATTAGTAATATAGAATAACATCACTAAATATAATATATTTTATTTACTTTTTTTAATCTCTATAGTAACAAATTCAAATAGTAATGAAGCTAAAAAAATAAAACGATTCATTAGAATGCTCCAGAGCTGTTTTATATAAAACTTAGATTAAATAAATCACATTAATGTAAAGTGTGTAAAGAAAAAAAGGAATTTATTACATTTTAAATTGAAATTAATAGATAATAGCGTTTAATTACTGATTTACACCGGCGAGGAATTACTGACTCTAAATTTTTTTTGACTATTCGCAAGAGAGATTTCCATTCTTCTTATAAAACGTTATCTTATATTACCGGACTGACGATTTGAAACCTTTTTCTTGATTTTGCACCAAAGATGCTTTATTGGGTTTAAATTTGGGCTGCTAGCTGGCCAATCTAAGACCGAAACATACACTTTATTTTTGTCTCGTCAGAAAAAATTACTTTTTTCCACTGTCTGTTCCACTATCCAGTTTTCATACCTTCTTGCAAATGCAAGCCGGGCTTGCCTATGGCACCGTTTTAATATGGGCACCTTTCTTCGTATACTTCTGTGCATCTTCTCTTCTACCAAACACCTTTGAATAGTGCGTGCCGATTTCTGAAAGTTTATTTTCACCAAAATATTCGTTTCGCAGCTCATTAGAACCTTCTAAAGGATTTTATTTTGCCAAACGAACGATATTTCGATCATCCCACCAGAATAGTTACTTACAACCAAGGGCTAAATATTGTTTCGCATTTAAATATGAATACAAGATAAACTATTCAGCGTTCTTAATTATGGACCAGCCAGTAATCAGTTAAACTAGGTTAAAATCTAAAAATCTTTATAAGTTTGTGTATTTAAATATTTTGTAGCCAATATGTATCAACGAATGTACCGCTATCATAGAAAAGTTCAAAGTTATCGCAAGAAATACAAAAAAAAACTAGCGATTAGTTACAAAATCTTGTCGGTGTGAAAATATTCTCTTACATACAAGATGCTAGTACTTTAGCATTAAAGTCCACAAGTGTGGCTTAATTAAACATAATTTGTAGACGACACTTCATAGGTTCGTTTTTTTATTTCATGTGTGTTGTGGTGTGGTGTGGTTAGTGGAGCCCATACACGTCATATACAACGTCAATACTATCGCCCACCTTGAGATACGAGTCCCAAGGTCTCAATATCTCGATATACAACGGCTGCCCCACCCTTCAAACCGAAACGTATTGCTTTACGGCAAAAATATGCAGAGTGGTGGTACCTACCTGTGCGGACTCAAAACGGGTCCTACCACCAGCCTTTTTTTTATTATTTAACTAACTCTCATTAAATTGCCAACATTTTACTAATAGATGATTTCATTTCAATTTACCCAATACTTGGATAGAAATGGAACTTTATTACATTTATTATAATTTCGTATGTACTCAATTTCAGTGACATAGCTTCGACCTCTATTCCAAAAGATTTGGCTGTATGGCCTTTGTTATTTTTGCCAGTCCAGTGGAATTAAGAAAAAATCAATAGACACTGACTTAGAACTGTCAGTTGTCACTGAAAAACAAATTGATCAACTGGTGTTTATTACAAAGAGTAACGTGAAAAGGGGAAAAGAAATAATTGTTTACCTACATACCTAGCATAAAGTGAATTTTCAATTAGTTCTGATTAATTCTACTACGATTAGAGTCGAAATAATGAAATATACAAATTCAGTTCATTCAAACTAGTGCTGTTAGTAATTCAAATATGGTGTAGTAAGAACAGTTTATTTTACCATACAATTTTCAGATCCTGAAAGCATTAAAAACATTCAGGTAATGAAGTCGTTTCAATTTTAACCGTGCTTTTTGTTCTAGGCTTGTAGTTGAAAGCCAAACCGCTTCGAACAACAATATTTCTATAAAAATATTGTACCTAACAGGAAAACTGAAAACATCTAATTAATTGACTTGTTTGGCTACGAAGATAAAATGTCGGCTCTACTAACAGCTGATTGGTTCCAACTGGACACATATTATCGGTAATAAAATAGCACAATACTTGAAAAATAATTGTTGGTAATTTATGGCATGGGGCTGGTATTGTTGAAAAATAAAGAAATTGAACATAACCTTAACTTAATGCCCATAGTTCTAATATTACCTATAACTTTTCGGATTGTTTTATCGTTTTGCAACCCTAATACTTAATATCATAAGAAAAATGAACAAGCTATGAATGAACGAACTAACAATGCAGTTATTGGTTAAAAGTAAAAACCAACACATTTAGTCTCCGTACACTGATTTCAACTTCTTTTCCTCGAAGAATATAACTCTGTCGAAATCGTGAATTCATATGTTAAATCATTATTTTTATGTGCATACAATTCTGAGTATTTAATAAAATATAATACTTAATAAATTTACATTAAAAACAGAAAATTTGATCTCTACACAATGAACTGGATGATGGACGAAGGTTTGGAGAATATGATAGTTAGCGGTGCACCGTATGGTGGCCCAATGGCAGTAGTGAGAGACCGTAAACAATTTGTTCAAATAAAAACCACCACTAAACCTGTTATAACAATCTACAACTGCTCAGGAAATGTTATATCAAAGATATTGGTAAGTGTAAAATTATATTATTTCTGCTACCCCTTACTGGGTCCCTAATTATTTTGACTGAATTAATGACTGATCTAACTAACCGTAATAACAACTTAGGTCAGAGTTTTAGCAGATTAGTAGTAACAACCTACATAACGAACAAAAGTAATTTAAAAATTTAATACGGATACTCTTGAAAAAATATTATATTATTAACTACATATTACAGTGGAACAGTGGTGTCCTACTACATATCGGATGGTCTGATGGTGAACAGCTACTTTGTATTCAAGAAAGCGGTGATGTCCTTATTTATGACATGTTTGGAGCTTACCAGAAAACTTTCAATATGGGCCAAGAAGTCAGAGATACAAAAGTATATAGTTTCATTGGTATTTTAGTACATTCTACAAGTAATGTATTGGAACGAAGTTCCTTATCGCGCATTGTGAAAGAGGGCTAGACGGAAAAAATTCTTACGAAAAGTGGTCACGACACTTTTTAGATCCGTCATTCTGACCAATCAACGTGTAGGCGCTTATCGCGTGACATTGCTCCTATCCGATTGGTCCGCGTAATGAGTACAGTTTCTCGAGATAGCGTTTCAACAATAGTAATTTAGTTCATAGTATTGTTTTTTCTTCTTCATAATGCCGTAATTTATTATTATAACTTAAAAAAAAAAATACAATTCCTTCACTAATTAATCGAAAGGAACTTCGTTCCATCCGGGTGTCCCTTGACACCTCTGAAGTTTTTTATTTATTTATAACAAATAAACAAGTTATTGATATACATATTACAGGTTTGTAAAGCTCAGTTGTTTCCAAATCCTCATGGTATAGGACTAGCTGTTATCACTACAACTAATAGAATGTTCCTTGTGAGTAATGTTTCTGAACCTAAAGCTCGACCGGTTCCTGATATACCAAGTAAGTTGAGACTATAGATGAGTCGTCTATTATCAAAGGTGGCAATCTGTGCATTTGGACAAAAAAAATTTATTGATATTTGAATATAATCGTCTCCTTCAAAGAATACGGTTCAAAACCTGCATTAAATAAAGGTTAATACTTAACCTGTTATTTATCTAAGATGTCGTTCAGAAGAGTTTTGTGACTGCCAATGGAATACAAAGTCAATAATTCGTTTTTCTGATTTACCAATAATTATCCAAAAGTCATATTGCCGGCTTTGATAATAGTCGACTCAGATATAATACTGTTTCGATGCTCCATGGTCTTTTATTCTACAAAAAAATTACGACTTCATATTTTAAACATTCTCACAAATCGCATAGCAGCATTCACATATTCTCCGGTCTGTTAAATTGTAATGCTCAATTTAGAGTTGTTTATGTAGTTATCGAACAAAACAGTTGATTTCAGGAGCCAATGAACCGATATCATGCTGGTGCGCTGTAAACTCTAGTTTTATAGTGTGTCGAGATAAAGAGATTTATAAATGCCAACTAGGTGAATCCAGGGCCATTCTTTTGGTATGTATTAAAATAGGCATATTATTTTCTCTAAATAAAAACAATTACTCTGGCAAAAGACTTGTTGAACAGCCTGCCACAAAGTAGACCTATGTCCTCAGTATGGTCAATCCATGGTCTGATTAAATTCTTTCTGATTTTATGGAATCCCGTTTAAAATACAGAGAACCCCTTTCCAAGAATTCAACAAAATTCTCGATCCCTATAATGTTTATAAGAGTAATCTATGAAATTATCATAAAATATGTGAAGTGCATCATTAACATGCCTACATAATTATGTTGATATAATTCCTGTACAATATTTTCATGCTCAATGCTAACAATTTTACAGCGTCCAGAAATCAAGAACCCCTACACACAGATCCTATCTATCGTGGCTTCACAGAATGGCAAGCACATTGCGTTCTTTACCGACTCTGGTTTCCTATGGATTGGATCTTCCGATTTGAGGAATAATTACTGCGAGTTAGATACGGATTATATTAAACAACCCAAAGAATTCATGTGGTAAGTTGATTTATAAGCACTGTGTTGCAGTTTATCTGCAAATCCCGAGGTTTATCAAACTCCCTATCACACTTAGCCTGCACACAATCCACATACTAATTTGATTGTAATTTGCCAGTAATGGTCGAATAAAATGTCCTCATCTACACGCTAGTAGTCGTCACTAAAATATATATATTACACACAAGAAAGATAAGATAAGGGATGACATTCGTCAAGTCGCCGGAAGACCGTATGTGGTTGATTACAAGCGATTGGTAGGACCTATTGTCTACCACTAGACTGTCAGTGAGTGGGCACCTTTAGGAAGAAATTGCCCATCGAGTTTCTCACCGGATCTTCTCAGTGGCTCACGATTCAGATTCGATGATAGATTCTGGTAAGCACTGCTTTTACTTGTGCTAGTGTTATTGAAATGAAATTCTCTGAAGTTGAGCCCGTGAGCTCACCTACCCTTCCGCGCGAAGCTGGAATAGCCCCTTATGAGATTTATATTCCAAAATCGAATGCATACATTCGTGTGGGGTCGCTCGTGCTTTCGACTAGTGACAAAATAGCAGGAAGATGCTGGAGGAAGACAATTTATCTTTTGTTCCCTACCTGTTCGCTAATAACGTAAGGGGCTATTCCAGCTACGACAGACGGGTAGGTGAGCTCACGAACTCTACCTGAGAGAATTTGTTAACACTAGCCCTAGGAAGAGCAGTGCTTCACAGAATCTACCACCGGATCGGAATCGCGACCCACTGCGAAGATCCGGCGAAAAAGTCATTGCGCATTTAATTACTACATCTCCCCATATTTTGCGACTCTTCCCATACGACTCGAGAACGCTTTGTCACATTTGTCTAGATCTTTGACATCCTCACTTTTATTAATACGCTTTTATCAGCTTCAGATGTATGTATGTTAGTATGCTACGGAATATTTGATCATGATTTTGACCCCATTGAAAACGTCGGATTAACTCGAAATTTAGTTTACTTATTTAGGACCGATGACAATTCAATATTTAAAAAAATAAAATAAAAAAAATTAAATTAAACTAAAAAATGAAAAATAAATAATAGTTTAAAAAACTAACAAAATAAGCTTTTATAGAAAATTTTATAAAAAATTTAAAGAAAACATGATTTTATTGTAAAAGCGTGGGGTGCATGGTTTTGATAATATCCTGAAAAGCACCACAAGCCTTTTTTACAATAAAATCATTTTTTTACACTATTTTTAATTCAAATTTATTAAAATTTATTATTTTTTAGTTGGATTTTCTATAAAAGCGTATTTTATTAGTTATTTTAAACTATTATTTATTTTTGATATATGAGTACAGTGGAACTCTACCTTGTCCAGCAGCACCCTTGTTCCGTTGTATACCTTTCTATAAATCTGAATTATAATACCTTGATTCGACTGAACATGCAAAAGGACCTTAATATTAACATTTCATTTAAGGTGCGGTTCCCAAGCTGTGGCCGCACACTGGGACGACACTTTGTGCATGTACGGTACTAAAGGCAATAGTGTTGCGTATCCATACGATGGGCCCTTCCACTTAATTCAGGAGATGGACTGCATAAGGATTGTATCAGAAATGACCCATGAACTCGTGCAAAAGGTGCCTTTTGTTGTTGAGAAAATATTCCGGATCAATAGCACGGCGCCCGGCTCGTACCTAGTTGAAGCTTCTAAGCAATTTCAGGTACATTAAAAGTTGTGTTTAATTGTAGATTAATTGTAATATAGATTAATTGAATATTACTGAAAGACATAAAATACATTATTGATAGCATTTAACGCAATTTTATCATAAAATTTCAACAGATTCAAACTTCATTGATAATTAAAATATTTCACGATAACATTTTGTTTGACATTAGCTAAGTTGTTTTTCGTTACCCAAAACCAAGCAGCTTAAATATAACTAATGGACCCCCGGTAGTCGAAATTCGACTATAATTAATTGAAATTATAACTTTGTACACTATAGTGATTCTATTGTCAGACTATTAAACTTCTATTATATAATCACAGATTTCGCTAAGACGTCTTTCTGGTGGTAGGACCTCTTGTGAGTTCTCGCGGATAGGTACCACCACCCTGCCTATTTCTGCCGTGAAGCAGTAATGCGTTTCGGTTTGACGGGTAAGGCAGCCGTTGTAACTACTGAGATCTTAGAACTAATATTTCAAGCTGGGCTGTGAACTCGTCCACCCATCAAAGCAATAAACCACTTTGCCACTGGGAAACGAAATATGATCGATCGTCTTCCAGAAACGCAGTCACCGAGCTGACGAGTACATCCGGCTAGTGAAGCCCGACCTGTCCGCCGCCGTCGCGGACTGCATAGATGCAGCCGCCTTCGAGTTCAGTCCGGACGTGCAGAAGATGTTGATCAGGGCCGCGCAGTTCGGGAAATGCTTCCTGATGGACCCCGTCATCACGGAGCTCTACGTCAAGACGTGTCGCTGGTTGAGAGTTCTGAACGCCGTCAGAGATCCTAAAGTGGCTATACCTTTAACATCTATGCAGTATCCTTTTCCATCTAATACTACTGGTCCCGCACTAGTCGAAATTTGACTATAATAATTAAAGAATTGAAATTATATGTTTGAACATCATTAAGGTTCTATTGTCAAAGACTATTAAGCTTCTATAATCACAGATTACGCCAAGACTACACTGACAAATAATAATATTAAAGATGCTTTGCTACTTTGCGGCAAAAATACGTAGTGGGGTGGCATCTATCCGCAGAGGCTTAAATAAATACTCCCTATAACCAGTAATTTCTTTACACCGTTTCGTTTCTAATGACGAGAGACTGTTGGAAAATTTTGGAAGCTAATAGATCAGAAATTAATTTAACACTAGGTGTGCACCGCAGTTACAATCGCTCTAAAACTGTATTATATTTGTTGAAAAGTAGCATATATACATGCTAGAAAATCGGGCCTAAAACCACGATACATCAACAATTTCGCAATTATAAAACATATTTTAATATAAAACCCTCAGCGTTAAAGTGGCCTAACCCGTGATTTTTCATATTCGCGCTTTGTTTATTTTAATTTATTTAAAACATAATAAATTTTGATGAAAAATCGGCCTATCCCTAGTTTCACAATACCTAATTATCTCCATACGAACTATGGTAAGCTTAGGCCCCTTTTGTGCTGAAGACCTTATGTTTGTTTGGTATTCCTTAACGCAAGGCTGTAGAATGCGTAATCTGGGCGAACGAATACTTCTTGACCGGCTCATATGGCGCCGACTGCACTGTTTGGCCGGACACATCGCTTCCTACCTGCAACTGAAGGACGGACGCACGAGAGTCCTGTCCCATTGGGCTTGTTACAAGGTGAAAATATGTCTTCACCAACAGATAAAGCTACTTGTATTCAGCAATCGTATTTACCGACGATCCCATTATTGTTGTTCGGAACTTGGATTCAGGCATCTGTCAAATGTCTTGTGTCTTTTGATGGCTACCCGCCACAATAACAATTACGTTAGATTAACGCCCGAGATCTGAACTTCAGTTTGAACAGCGAAAAGCATTTTCTTTGGGTCGATATCTCAATTTTATAAAGTACCTACTATCAAATCAGAAAACTGCTACGTTTCCAGAATATTCTTCTACGGTGTTTCTTAAGCTTGATCTGCGACCTTGTCATTGGGAACTGTGTGACCGACGGTAGTGGTGACGTGTTCCCTATGCTCGTGTGCACTATTCTATTCTATTCTATCAATCTATAGACGTCCACTGCTGGACAAAGGCCTATCCTAAGCCTCGCCACAAATATCGGTCCTGCGCTGACAGACAAGACAACTCTTCCTCCCACAAGTAAACCACGTTAACTGGTCCCGTGATAAGTTCGTAAAGAACTTGTGTTACAGGTACCAGATACCGGAAATAAATGTAAGATTTTTATTATACACATACATATATTTAATATACATCCATAACCCTGGAAAAGACATTTATATTTATCATACAAATATCTTCCTTGGCGGGATTCGAACCCGCGACCCCCTTGTGTAGTGACCATGTCACTTACNAAAGAACTTGTGTTACAGGTACCAGATACCGGAAATAAATGTAAGATTTTTATTATACACATACATATATTTAATATACATCCATAACCCTGGAAAAGACATTTATATTTATCATACAAATATCTTCCTTGGCGGGATTCGAACCCGCGACCCCCTTGTGTAGTGACCATGTCACTTACCACTACACCAGACGGCCGTTTACAGACGGTTTACAGGACCGATTGCACTATAAACCAGTAAATGGGAGATTCGATAGAAATTAATTTACAAAACGTTATAGGTAACTCAGCCTCACTTGGACAACGAGAGTGCCGCAAGGGAGATAGGTGAGAAGCTACGGAATGTCCCTGGCATATCGTACACAACGATAGCCATGAAAGCTGCCGAAAAAGGAAGGAAAGCTCTAGCTATAAAAGTTAGTACGTACCCTAAATATTCGTTATACCATAAAACCGAACCACAGTAATAAACTTTTTAGTCATAAAAATATAATTTTCTCTTACTCGTCTAAAATACCTCTTTTTTATTACTAATGTGGTTGAACGAGGTCACGGCTCACCCGGTGCTAAGTGGTTTCGGAACTCATAGACATCTACATCTACATCTACACCGCAAATGCCATCACCCCAAATTGAGACACGAGCTTTAAGTCTCAGTTTTACCGTGCAATACTTTCAACCAGTCGACCAAGGGTAACACAGAAAAGAACGCAGTGGGCACATTGGTTGATAAATTTGAAATGAAAAATACATGTTATACAATATACTGAAAAAAAATACAAATACATCAAATAAAAATTTAAATACACTAGCTGTACCCATCCGCTTCGCGGGGCATTTAAAATTGACATTATTATTTCTCACCCCCACAAAGATTCTCATCATTAACTCCCCCGCAACTGGTGTAGGCAGTCCAACACTCATATAAATATAAGCCTATGCATTAAGTACATGTATTTTCTAAATGGCTACCAAGTTTCAAGTCAATCGGATGCATGGTTCAATAGTTATAACGGAACATCCGTAAAAACCACTGTAGATTTATATATTAGTATAGATACATAAATTTTGAATATACATACTTAATATAATGAATATTTACATAAATGTATTCTACAATACAATTAATATGATACAGATCCTGGAGTACGAGGCACATAGCAAATTACAAGTTCCATTGCTATTGTCACTCGGCGAAGGTCCGACTGCGCTGCTGAAGGCGACCGCCAGCGGCGACACGGACTTGGTCTACGTTGTTCTGTTGCATCTCAAGGAAAAAATGGGAAAACATGACTTTGAGGTATGTCATTACCGTAGATTCGGGGGGGATCGGGACCCTTTCCAAATCCAACACAATTTTTCAATGATTTTTCTTAGGGTAATATCAATAAAATTAAGATTAAAATTGGTTTCGTCCCTCTTAAATTTTTATATACGATGCTTTATTATACATAGTTCATTACAAAATATGAGTCGTCTATTATCAAAGGTGGCAATCTGTGCATTTGGACAAAAAAAAATTATTGATATGTCAATACAGATTTATTTGAATATAATCGTCTCCTTCAAAGAATACGGTTCAAAACCTGCATTAAATAAAGGTTAATAGTTAACCTGTTATTTATCTAAGATGTCGTTCCGAAGAGTTTTGTGACTGCCAATGGAATACAAAGTNATAATCGTCTCCTTCAAAGAATACGGTTCAAAACCTGCATTAAATAAAGGTTAATAGTTAACCTGTTATTTATCTAAGATGTCGTTCCGAAGAGTTTTGTGACTGCCAATGGAATACCAAGTCAATAATTCGTTTTTCTGATTTACCAATCATTGTCCAAAAGTCAGATTGCCGCCTTTGATAATAGTCGACTCATATACACAAAAATTGAAAAAATTAGCTTGACCCGATTCACCTTGGCTTTGGGGTGAATCAGTTTACGTATAGGGACAACAGAATTTTTCGATAGGGCTGGCACTATTTAGTTGTTAGATAGGTACCTAATTTTAGGTAATTAACTTTTTAATATCCTTAATGAGTTACAAAACTTTGATGACTAAATTAGACTGTTTAATGTTCTTAAACACTAAATAAAAGTCATTTTAAGTTAAATCTAACAACTCAAAAAAAGTATTTTGACATCCCAGATTTGTGCCTATTCTAACTCTAGTCTCTATTCCCCCCAATCTACTGTACCTACCTCCTCCTTGCGTCAATAATCCTCAACGCTGAGGGTCGTAGCCTCCTCTAATAACTCTCTCATGGATTATCCTGCGCCACTCCTTTATTTATTTATTCTTTATTTGTACACACTGTTAATATAATACAGTAATTGCGATAAGATATAAAAAAATGGCGAGCTTTTTAATATTATTTAACGAATGCTTAGGCTATTTTTACTTTTAATGAGTTTGCGAAATCTCGAAGATCGAGGGCAGACTACGGGGAGGTAACAAACCTTTTGTGAAATTGATGTATTTTGAAATACACCGTTCAAAATCGAGGCGGAGCCTGCCTACCGGACTGCATTAAATATCACTCTGCATTCGTTGAATAATTATTAATAATTAGTTTATACATTTGGAAGTGAGGACAAAGCGATGATCTTCCACCGAGCGAGTGATATTGCTCAGTAGCTCGAAGGGTTAAATGGTATTGTTCGGAACTTGTTTATATGTTACCGGAAATGTATGAAATCAAGGAATTGTATACAAATCCTAGGAAATGTGTACAATTCCGATAACATTTAGGAAATGTATAAAATATTGTTTGAAAAACTATTTAATGCATAGATATCCTAGGAAATGTATAAATTTCCTCGGAATTGTATATAATTCCAATATCGTATTAGGAAATGTATAAAGAAAATGCTTTCTGTAATAAAACACGTTGTTAATAATATTTTTTTAATATAACACTTATTGAGACAATCGGGTAACAGTCATACCGTAAAATAATAATAATATATTCATATTATCTTACTAATTAAAACTTCGAAAATCAACTATCTATTAACTTTTAACGTATCACAAAATGAACTTATATTTATTCTTATAAAATCAAATTTTCATTTGGCAAGTAATCAGTCTGATAATTAAATAATTATAAATGTGAAAGTATAAAAGTAAATCTTTATATTATAATACTTTTTCAGTCCATATAGCTATTTATTTTTGCAGGGTAAGCTCGAATGGCATTTGGAAGTACATAATACTTTATTTTTAAAACACAGACATCTTGATGTAGCACAGTTTTTCTTGTAAAGGCACTTCTTAAATCCCTGACCGGTTCCAGCGGATTGCAAGTTGGCAACTGACCGTAGTGCAAGGCTCGTCCCGCTGTCCCCGCGTACCCACCAATATCTTAAATGTTTTACATTTCCGATTGCTATTTAGGAAATGTATAGATTTCCTAGGAAATGTGTAATGTGTAAGTATAATAAAATTTATTTCACACATTTCCGTGCGATTTTAGGAATTACATACATTTCCTAGGAATTGTATACAATGACGGATTACATACATTTCCGTTAACATATATACAAGCTTATCTTTTAATGTGTTTAGGGAGGTTCAGGCAACTGTCAAATATCTTGTGTATTGCTTAGATGGTCGGACGAGTTCACAGTCCACCTGGTGTTAAGTGGTTACTGGAGCCCATAGACATTCACAACGTGAATGCGCCACCCACCTTGAGATATAAGTTCTAAGGTCTCAATATAGTTACAACCGCTGCCCCACCCTACTGTGATACCTACTCGCTAAATAAATGATAATATTTTCAACGTCGCTTTATTTTAACAGCTCACAATCCGCAGTTTCCCGTTAGCGCACGCCCTGTACATCAAGTACTGCGCAAGTCACAACCGCGAGGCCCTGCGCCTGGTCTACGTTCAGGAGGACGACTTCCAGGGTCAAGCCGCCACTCACATATGTGACGCCATCGAGCAGACCAACCCGGGCAGCGCGGAGGCCTCGCTGATATCCGCCAGGGAATGTTACAAAAAGGGCAAAAATGAATTAGGTATTTATATAAACTAGTGGTCCTGCAGTAGTCGAAATTCGACTATAATTAATTGAAATTATAAGCTTGAACAGTATTATGGTTCTATTGTCAAAGTAACAAAGACTATTATATTTCTATAATCACAGATTTCTCCAAGACTACACCATACAAATAATATTAAAGATAAACAATATTATGTAACCTTTTCTAATTTGACCACAGACTAAGCAATAACAAAAGTTTAACAGTAAACAAAGAGTATGTGTAATGTTTTTTTCATTGATTTCCTGTATTATTAATGCATAATTTTTAAAAAATATTAGCTTTCTGCACTCCTTCTCTATACTCTTTATAAGTGTGGGAAATTTCATACTCCTCCGCCCGTACAATTTTCGTAACAAGGGGTACAACGTTTTTGCTTTACGTATTAATAAATACTAGAGGTCCCGCAGTAGTCGAAATTCGACTATAATTGGAATTGTAAGTTTGTACACTATTATAATTGTAGTTTATACTTCTATAATCACAAATTTCGCCAAGGCTACACTATAAAAATATTAATAAAGACAAACAATATTTAACCTATTCTCAATTTGACAACAGACGTCAAGAACAGAAGTTTGACAATAAATAGTATGCATGCGTGTGTGCGTCAAATACATAGTATATAGTGTGTGTAATGTTTTCTTTATTGATTTAATGTATCTTTTATGCATTATTTAAAAAAAAAAAATTAGCATTGTGCACTTCTTCTCTATATTCTCTATAAGTGTGGAAAATTTCATACTCCTCCGTCCGCGCAATTTTTGTAAAAAGGGATACAAAGTTTTTGCTTCACGTATTAATATATAGATATAGTTTGAGCTCTCTAGTACAACTATTAAACTGCATTCGCTCGCTTATCGAAATTCGACCGTAATCACAGATACTACAAGAATTATAATTATTTTATCTAATTTTATACAATGTTATGTTGTGAACATGTTATGTTCACACATGAACAATGTTATGTTGTCCGGCCTTGGAATGTATTGTATTTAATGAAATTTAAAAAAAATGGCCTCTATTACTATCAAACAGCAGTTCCTTCTAAATCATATATATATATTTGGATTATATCATGATATTATATACTTCTGTCGGTCACTGTACTGGTTAACGACAATTCTCCAGGTGCATCTGTGTGCGAGGACGCCCGGAAGCTGTGCAAGCAACAGTCCAGTCTCCAGGAGACGTACGGAACGAGCTTCGTGGGGCTGTCGCTTCACGATACCGTCAAAAAGCTTCTGGACCAAGGAGAAGTCAGATTGGCAGACAAACTGCGATCGGAATATAAAATGCCCGATCGAAGGTGGGACTGAACATAATAATAATAATATGCATTATTTAATAATCACATAATAATACGCAACAAATGCTTTATCTGGGTTTTTTTAAGTTATACTTCTTTAGGCGCGTTATGAAAAATTTATGAGAGTGAAATTTTACGATGCGCGCGCACCGTGACACAAAATTAACAGAATGAAGTTTCCCACTAAATCGCTCATTACAATACGATCGACGTAACTTGGCGAGTCTGAATATAGCCGCAGGTGAACTTTCCGAACCGTACCGAGAATTACCGAATTTATACGATGTCAAGAAGAGGGATGTCCAATATGCGTGTTTGAGGATGTTGTTTAATCGATTTTTTTTCAAATTGATTAAATATTTAATAAAAAAAAAGAAATTAATTTAATAAAAATAAAGTATAACTTCTTACGCGCGTACATAAGTACACGCACCCTTTTTTTGTTACATATACCTAAATGACAGTGTCATTTTAATCAGAATTTAAAAATCTATTCTAGAAATAATATTCACAACGAATGCTCAAATTGACAATTCACCCATATCTTCCAAATCTAACACAAAATTTCAATGGGTTTTCCAAATGGAAATAATATAGGTAATACCAATAAAATTGAGATTAAAATGGTTCCGGAGACTTAAATTTTTATATACTATGCGTTATTATACATAGTTCATTACAAAATATACACAAAAACTGATAAAACCAGCTTGACCCGATGCACCTTGGCCTTGGTAAATCAGGTTACGTATAGGGACAATAGAGTTTTTCGATAGGGCTGGCACTATTTAGTTGTTAGGTAGCCACCTAACTTTAGGTATTTAACTTTTTCATATCTTTCATGAGTTACAAAACTTTGATGACTAAATTAAACTATTTAATATTCTTAAACACTAAAGTCATTTTTAAGTTCAACAAAGTTAAATCTAACAACTCAACAAAAGTATTGTGACATCCCAGATTTGTCCCTATTCTAACTCTAGTGCCTGTTATCTACTGTAACCACTGAAAGATACGCATTACAATTTTAATAGGTATTCAAAAATTTTAATTATTTTACCTAGCCATCTTAACTGCGTTTCAGATATTGGTGGCTTCGTATCCTAAAACTAGCCGAGAAGTCCAATTGGGAGGAATTGGATAAATTTTCGAAATCAAAGAAATCTCCAGTCGGGTACGAGCCGTTTGTTGATGCCTGTCTCAAGTACAACAAGGCGGACGAAGCACTCAAGTACTTGCCGAGATGCAGGGATGAGATCAAAATTAAATACTACGTTAAAGCTGGGTGAGTCTTTGATTGATACAGTAGTACAAACCTTTTACGTAATACAACATTTTAACAAAAAAAAAAAAAAAAAAGGAAACAGACTTCGCCATACGTACTTAACAGATGTTCGCGATTGACTTCCACGGTGAAGGAATAACATCGTGTAATAAAAATCAAACAAAATTATAATTTGCGTAATTACTGGTGGTAGGACCTCTTGTGAGTCCGTACGGGTAGGTACCACCGCCCTGCCTATTTCTGCCGTGAAGCAGTAATGTGGTTCGGTTTGAAGGGTGGGGCTGCCGTTGTAACTATACTGAGACCTTAGAACTCAAATCTCAAGGTGGGTAGCGCATTTACGTTGTAGATGTCTATGGGCTCCAGTAATCACTTAACAGCAGGTGGGCTGTGAGCTCGTCCACCCATTTAGCAATATAAAAAAAACATCAACGACCTCGACAAATAAATTGAGAATATCATCAATTTAGTGAAGGCACTTAAATATGCATTAATAAAGATATTTAACTCAAAAACTCCTTGTCAGATCTTGATACAATTTCGATGAGATCCCATGAGAAGCAAATAAATCAAATAAAAAGAAAAAAATAACCATCAAAATCGGTTCGCCTAGAAAAAAAATTTAAAGCAATTAGCGTACACATAAAAAATAGTCGAATTGAGAACCGCCTCCATTCTTGAAAGTAGCTAAAAATTTTATGCGAACAACTAAATTGATGTATATCGTCGTTGGAAGTTTAAAATCTATCTAATAAAACTACCCCCTGAAAAAAAATATGCAAATATTTTTTTAGCACAGGATGCTTTGATCTACAATAGAATGCAATCTAACACTTAGGATTTTTTAAGATTGAAGCGTGATAAAGTGAAATATTGAGATATGCACATGAGAGTTTTTGCTGAGTATAAGTAGGTATTCAAAATAATTTTCATAATATGTATATGAAAACACCATTTTGGCCCAAAATATCACATAGGAGATTTTAAATTTGCAACGACGATATGTTATACATACAGCGCATCGTAAATAAAATTTACAACGTTTTGTGTTGTATCGCCTGTAGCTGCAGTGACGTCATAACTTCATGGGGCAGTCGCTACGTAGAGTCTATGTTTGCTTTAATCGGTTAACAGTACGCTAACCGCTTAAAACGAAGATTACGCTAAATTAAAATATGTAACGTAATTTCCAGGTATTACGCGGAGGCCGCCGAAGTCGCATACGAACAGAAAGACGAAGCCGGCTTACATTTCGTTCAAAACAAATGCCCGATGCAAGACTTCGACAATCAAGCCAAAATATCGGGACTCCTAGAACAGTTGAAAATTAAGAAATGATCGTTTTCGTTTGCCGTCTCCGTCGACTGCACGCTGTGGCTGTGACCCGGAATAGGATATATTCACAAAACTCAATATCACTTAATGTATATCATGAAAACGTACCCTAAAGCACGTCGCACCTTTAGCTGCGTGGTGCCGACTTAGACTTAGAATATATCTCTGTGGGTAGGGTGGCCGCGTTCTCAGAATGCAATACCATTTACTGGTGGTTAAGCATCCTGTAAGCCCACGCGGGTAGGTACCACCACCCTTTTTTTTAACGCTGGGAAATCCATTTACGGGTACCCGGTCGAGGGGGGTAACGGACCTGGTTATGTCGGACTCCGGCGCCTCAGGAGAGAAAGAGGGGGAGAAGAAAAGGACCGAGGTGCTCCACGTCCCCCAATTTCTCACAGGAGACTGTGCCTTGAAAAAGGCGCGCGAAGCACTTGCCCTGCACAACCGACTACCGACTAAACCCCATCGAGCTCCACCACACCGAATACACGAAACTTACGGTACCGCAGTGCGCACAGAAAGTCCCGCCTTCGCCGGTTTCCGTCCTGATAATAGGACGGAATCTCATCCACGGGTTTTTTTTTTATTGCTTAGATGGGTGGACGAGCTCACAGCCCACCTGGTATTAAGTGGTTACTGAAGCCTATAGACAAGGTAAATGCGCCACTCACCTTGAGATATCAGTTCTAAGGACTCAAGTGTAGTTACAACGGCTGCCCCACCCTTCAAACCGAAACGCATTACTGCTTCACGGCAGAAATAAACGTGAGCGGCGCACAGGAGCCACCCTGTACCGCTTCACCACTGGACTGACAGTCCCTACGAGGGCTGAGCGACGAATTCCCGCCCGCGCTGTCCTCTCAGCTTTCTGCGCTGTGGAACCGAAGAGGGATCCCATTCTCTTTCGCGTTCCTCAGCCTTACAAAGCGACATGACCAAATCGCAGAACCCGGCTATGCCCTCCCACAAACTCCGGTCCTCTACCATACGGGCGACGACAGCCTACAAAGAGAGGAGGTACCACCACCCTACTTATTTCTGCCGGAAAGCCGTCACGCATGTAATGGTGGGACATCTTTTATACAATAGAGACTCCAACCTCATGTCTCAAGATGGGTGGCGGTAGTCAACTTATGTTGTCTATGGACCTCAATAACCAGTTAAAACCGGATGGGCCGTGAACTCATTTAACCGTCATCATCAACCACCATAGAATGCAATGCGATGCAATCAGAACATAATTATGCTGTGATTATAGTTTCGTTTCAATCGTAAAATTTAAATAATAATAAATTTAATATTTAGTAATCACTAATTTTATATAAAGTTAAAATTTCTTACATTTTCTTATATACTTATCCCTCTATTAATTGTTTTCATCGATAATTTCCTTGAGGAAGTTCTGTGAAACGAATCAAGCCACTGGCCGTCATTAGTGTGTCAATAATTCACAATGTAATATATTAAGTTTTGTTTGATTAACTGACTATAAAAATGGAGGAATATTCGAGAAACATTTGTCATTTATTAACTTTACATGCAAAACTTACCACCGTGAAATGTAAATTATATAGCGCCATAATGTAATCCTATTATTCCTATAACTATGTAACGTATAATAATCATAAAACAATATTATTAAGGTTTATTATTTTATATGAATGTTATAAATAAAATGAAAGACTCCACATATGTCATCATTGCGTTTTACTGTGTGATGTAAACAAACATATTTCTTTTTTAAATACAATACAAATTATGATCGATATTCTGATCCACCAAATTCAGATGAGATTACAAACATGTCGGCTCTAATATTAGAAATAATAATAATTAGCAACAACAACAAATTTCTAAACATCGACAAGCCGTATCTTAGTTACATTATATTATTATAGATAATAAATATTGCATTGCAAAACAATGTTCAAGTGACATTTTAAGTGCAAGAGATATTATGTGTCGATGAATTTAATAAAATATATCATTCTAGTCAAAGTCATCACTTTGCGAAAATCAAGGAAATCACTGCAAAAATTAACGTAATTCTTTTAATGTCTTTTACACATGTGAAGTTCGCACCAAGGGAAATTGTTGTTCACAACCAATCTCAAAAACGTAATAAAAAAATTACGGAATATTTTAGGTCTTTTAAACGCTTCCCCAACATATCCCAATGGTGGCCACCCGTATAACAAAAGAGATACATTGCACATCCCCATAAATACTGCCGCATCGGTAAAATTGATAACCTTCAATTTTATTAACGCAAAAGTCGTTACAGTTTCTGCTTTTAAACTACAAAACTACAATTATTGAGATACTTAAAAGCGTATTTTCGAGCTTAACGAAGGCTTCTAACTTTTCTGTCTGATATGATGCATAGTTAGGATGTTAACTTTCCTTTTTTTTCAATATCTGTATATACGTGCCTGCGTATGCTCTAAAGACGCACAAATGACGTCATCAACAGTAAGCGCGGGCGTGCGACAGAGAACCATATGTTCGTGAATAGCTCATACTCCTTCGTATTTAACATATTGCTAGAAGTACAATACAGTACAGTAAGAATAGTTGAAATTATTAATTAAATGAAGATTTAATTAATAAATGTATCCATTATTTTAATAAGGAACCTTCAGAGTTGAGACTGATACCGGACTACAAGTACACAAATTGAGTATCGTTAATACAGAACATTTGATATGTATCTTTCAAGCAAAGAATTATTCGTTTATAATAAAATTAAAATATTGTGTATTAACACTGTCAATGAAAATATTGAATTAAAACTTTAAAAAAACCTTTGCATTCGACTAACTATTTAAGCCTCAGTCAGCATGTAAGTAAGCACATGTCTGTCTTCGCCCTTATAAACGAAAACAATACTCTAAAACACAAAGACAACTATCAGTCTTCATAAAACATGACTAACAACGTTCACTGCGAACACAAGCCAAAAATATCATAAATATGAGCTGTTTCATAAGAAACGTAATTATTAGCTATAAGATATTAACTAAATTCAAGAGATGTGCATCGAGCTGGTTAGTCTAATGTTACCATCGATAAAATAAAAACGAATATCGTTCATTTTTCGCATTCGGAATAATCTCGTTAGATCGATAAGAACATCAACAACAAAAGTCAACTAAAACAAATTACCATACAATAAGATGAAAGTTATAACGAAAGAAAACTCAAAAATATTCGTTTTTTTATCATAATCCAAGACAACAATAATAAATGTAAATTACAGTTTAATCGATACAAAAAAAATATAGTTTTCAATTGGTTTTGGTCATTGGTTAACCGGAATTTAATTCTAACTGGGGACTTTGCTGGAAATCTTAATAAACATATTGTTGACCAAAAAAAGCTCTTAATGCAATTTCATTGATTTGCAAAAGCGGTCCCACGCTCTCTAGACTATTTTTTTGAATTTGTTACTCTTCTACGTTCGGATTGAGCTCTCAACGACCGCTTCAAAAAAATAGAGCACGAAATACACATATAATAGGGAAAATCACTCGATTTGTTTCTTTTTTATATTTTAAATATGTCTTAGAAAAAGTACTGCCCGTCTTGTAACTCGATCCCTGAGTTTATAAATGAAAAATAAATAAGCGTATATCATTTTTTAGAACTATCATTTTTCTTTGGTACTTTGATACACGCAAACATTCGTTTTCGACTTTTGACGCTCATGTCGCGTTAAGCACCTCCAGTGAAATGTGCTTGAACATGCCAAACCCATCAATTTATTATAAAATAGGAACTTTTACGTTATTTCAAAACTTATGTAGTAAACATTTATTTTTAAAGTTACATCGGAACATGTTTCCTGAAACTATCACCGTACTAATTAATTGCTATGTGGTTTGACACGTTCAATGTTCTGCATTGCAACAATGTAGAAAATACTTATATTCGTTTTCAATAACACCCCGTTTACCATCATTAGCACCTCTATCTCACCCATCGCCTATAAAAAATTACACAAACATTTTATTGTTTTTTTTTCGATTCAATCGTGTTCACACTTGCAACTGTTGCAATTATTACAAAACCGTTGTTATCGTGCAACCTACATCAATTGAAAAATAGTCAAATTTATATTTTTTATTACAATTTTAGGTAATCTTCCAATTTCCTCCCAGCTTCCTCAGCCTTGGTATGTAGCGGCTTGGCTCTGCCCCTGGCATTGCTGAAGTCCACGGGCGACGGTAACCACTGACCATCAGGTGAACCGTACGCTCGTCTGTCTTCAAAGGCAATAATAATAAAAAACCTCTCCACGCTACGGATATTCGAATAAGAAATTTAAAAAAATCACATTCTCTGTTAGTAATATCTTGAAATACTTTGATATCCTTGAAATAAGATATTGATTACATCGGATACATGACAATAGCGTAGTAATCAAATCAAAGACAACACATTAATCGATTTTTTTTAACATCAAAGTTTTTGTTACCCGTTAATCACACTTAGAACTCCGCCCGGATCCCATTAGATATGAGATCGAAGTGTAAATCTTATTGATCCTCTCTCCCTTCAAATCAGTGTGTTTAGTGCGAGTTTTTTAACGTTCTCGATAGCGTAAAAGTTAACCCAATTTTGTATGCGGTTCGAACAGCGCCCCTAGCGGCAAACGTAGGCGAACGATCCCATTCCATATAAATATGAGCTAACTTTTACGTTATCGAGAACGTTAAATAACTCTCACTAAGCACACATAATGAAAAACTGCTTTACAACAGAAATGCGCAAAGAATTTTATTCGCCAAATATGAAATAGACGACGCCTTTTGTGGTTATTATTGAAGTTGAAACCACTATTTCATTAGATTTTGTTTAATTAAAATAAATAATCCTTTTGAATACTTCGTAAATTTCGTCAGCGCTACTAAACAACTCGATATTCCAAGAGTACTGTGATCGAATTGTTAAACAGAAAGGGACAGATGGTCCCAAATTTACCCTCCCTATTCCCAATTGTTATTTTCAATCAAAACAATCTTGGCTTCCTGAGAGATTTGTTTTTTAATCCTGCAATTATTAGTAACAAAACAATACAAGTCAAGTGCGGACAAAACATATAAAGTATGTAAAAGGACATGAGACTAATTTTTAGAACGTGCATTAATTTTTATCTAAATAATCTAAAACGTATTCAAACCACTGACATCAAATTAAATTTTATCATTATACGCTACTGTAAGCATTACATATGAGTGTTTACTTATATTCTAAAAACTTTGGTTACGCAATAAAAAAAATTAAGCACACCTAAAACGGTTCTTAAATTTAATTCCATTTTTATGAGAATCTTTATTTTTAAAACAAAACTCATTTTTATTTTATTTTGTGTAATACTTCGTACCTCTGCAATTTTAATAACTACATAGATATTTTCTTATGTGATGGGCATTGTGTGTGTGACAATCTTGTTTCTGTATTGCCAATTGCGCAAAATGTAAATTTTGTATTAAATATTTTTAATTCATTGGTAAGAATTATTTGTTTTTTCAAACACGAAAACTATAAAATGTTTACCAACAAAACAAAAAAAATCACTTCATATAATTTACCACAGTATAAAAGAAAAAGGCACTGAAGAAAAATACACAAGTCACATAAAATGACATTCTTATATGTATACATTTAGTGTGTATTAAAATTAGATTATGCAGTTAAGCTTATTTTTTTGTATTTTTTATTTTATTTTATTTTATCACATTAACGTTCATTACAGTAGCATACCGATACTAAGTGCGGTTCACTATTTTTTTGACTTTTTTTAAATAATTTATTCCGAGGGTGTGTTTACAACGTTTATCTATAAATCTAAAGCGATTTTGATAGATAATTTTAAGTACATGCCACAAAGTATGGCACGAAGAGAAAAAAAATATTGTTACCAGAATCAAAAATATTTTAAAAAGAAATTTTAAAACTATAATTTCGAGGAACCTAGTACGTTATTGCTGTTAGTAAGTGTTTTATCATTTGTTTACTATTAGGAAGACTTTTGTTAAAAATAGAAGAAGATTAGAAAGATCTTTTATTAAAAAACACACTTTCGATACTGAAAAATTTCGTATTGAATTTTAAAAGGTGCGATTAGTGCGTTCATACGAAAAAAAAAATTGCGAACAAAACATTCCCGTCCCACTCTCTTATTGCGACAGGAAAATACTTTCATGTATATCCGAACGCACCCCAACTCTAAACTACAAATAGATCAATTTTATAAACCAATCGTTTACGCCAATTAAACATTTCTCCCACAGCCTTTTCCATAGACTAATTACAGATGAAAAAAAACATGCAAATAAATCAAATAAATATTAACAACAATCACAAATAATACTAAAATAAATACAACTAATCTAATGTCAACGTGAAAATAAATAAATTGCGGAGCATTACTACAGAACATTTTTGTGCTAGAAAATTTTATGAAAGCTAAATTTCATGTAAGCAATAATACATTTGACGACCTCTATAGTCTATGTACCTACGTTAGCTAAATAAATCTGAACAAAAACAAAACTATTAGGAACTGTGTATTCGAACCTGCGTTTTGAATTCGCTTCGATCGCAAAGGTTCTAAATTAATTGGCCGTCTCATTAGTGAAAGACTGTGCGTAAACCTGTTGGGCGCTCTGTACAGTCACTTTAGTATAAGCGTCGATATTTTTCTCAACGAGACTCGTAACGGGCGGGGAGTGAGACGACGGGAGACCGTGACGTAAATGACTTTGCTTTGATACGACATTGATGCCGAGATTACTTTTAGTGATGGTAAACGTTGAGAGATCTTTGTTTTTGAGTGTGTCATAGATGCGAACCAGCTTGTTGCCGTCAGCTCCGTCGGGGCCGTGGTGCGGACGAGAGCCCGACGCCGTCACCACGACGGCGGGCATTCTCTGCGCCGGCCGGACCAGCTCTGATGGGACCGCCAGCACTGTGCTATTGGCGATGTGTTGCGATATGGAGTGGCTCTTAAATCCTTGGGCGGTTTTGTAACTTTTGCCGCACTGGCATTTGTACGCCTTTCTTACCCTGAAACATACGATCCTTCATCGGATTTCATACTAATTTCGTACAGTACAAATAATCCAACAATATATAAAATGAATGACTGTATGTTTGCTCGTAATATAATCCATATGTGCGTATTTCATCCTATTATTGCTATGTTGACTTTTCGTAGTTCGTATTGGCAATTAAGGCCAAGTTTTTATTACAATTCCATCAACGTAAAACAGATTATAAATCTAAGTACTCTTTTATCATCGACAAAAACAATGAACTACACTATCGATAATCCAAAAAGATTTAGGTGCGTAATAAGTATTTTATACTAGCGTTTATCTTGTACCCATTTCTTCCAAAAGTATTCTTGCGGAGTCAAACGCTTCTTTGGTGCGGACGATCGCTTTTTACTGAACAGACCAGGCGCTGATAACATCGGGTATTGTCTAGACATTGCCAAATCGATTTAACTCTTTACTTTATACCGGACATGATAACAGACGCGAAGTTCATTTCCTCAAACTATTCTCCTCATCCGAAACAATATCTAAACCTAATGATAACAATAAATGCGAGACTAAACCATTTTTTTTTTATTGCGTCCCCCATGCTGTCATCCGCATAGCAATGCATGCCATCAATAAACAGCATGTTATTGATATATAGGATGAAAAGCGTAGGGGGGAGCACCGAACCTTGTGGAACGCCAGCGTTAATGGTCATGGTATCAGAGTAATCACCGTCTAGAAAAACCGTGATGCTGCGCCCATTCAAAAAGCTAGGGATCCACTTGCATAGTCCCTCGGAAATTCCTTAAGATGGTAGCTTCGACAAAAGTGCCCTATGCCAGACCCTATCGAAGGCCTTCGCGATATCAAGGATTACAGCAAGAACCTCGCCCTTGCTCTCCAAGGCTTCAGCCCACCTGTGAGTAAGGTATACAAGAAGATCGCCAGCTGAGCGACCGTGACGGAAACCGTACTATCGGTCACTGATCAGCTGGCGATCCTTAAGATACTTCAGGAGTTGTGTATTTATTATTCGCTCCATCACCTTGGAAAGTAAGGAAGTTATCGCGATAGGCCTATAGCTCGATGGGTCCGACCGGTCACCCTTCTTGGAGATAGGGTGAGTGGGTAATATAATAGAAAATGAAAATTTTAAAAACGATTGTACACGAAAACATCGACAAGGGTGACAGAACTACGGTTTTCTTACATATTTGTGTTACTTCATTCTACACGTGCATTTATTTATGCAGCTTCGGTAGGCACTTGGTTTCGGGCGAGAGCGAATTGTGATATGTGCGGCAACTGAATTATTATAATTTCGACTATAATGATGGACCCATTTAAGGTTCAATATTGCATAGCACTATTCGAAAACTTATTATGCAAAAGGGGAACAAATTTAATACAAATTGGACCTAATTTCACATGGAATAGTGCTTAAAATATTTCCACATTACACCACCGGAAAAAAGAAGTTTGTATTTAGTTTCTACTCACTTGCCGTCCTTCTTGTGACCATTCTTAGAGTGGTACTTGATACCGTTGACGTTCTTGTATCGCTTCTTGCAACCAGGTACTGGACAAGCAAATGGCTTCTCTTGAGCGACAGGACCCAAAGCCCCGGACAAGGCGTTTGGATTCATTCTAGAACGAATAAATATAACGTTTCTTCAGTCCGAAAATATCCTGTTTAAAAAATAAAACACGGTCTTGATTTATAAATTATTTTAGAATACAATTTTAGTGACATTGAGTTTTTCTAAGTCCATTTTTTATTAAGGCGAAATACAAAATCATACCTCATCCCGTAACGCAATATGAACTCAGAGCTGTACTCTTCTACCGTTGTCCAAGAGTCATTACTGTCTTCTGAATGAGTACCTGCCTCGTCTTCGTCCATTTCACTTCCTGCAAGCGTTTCTTAACATGAGAAATCTCATTTTTCGAGCTCATTACATTAATTTTCTTTTATAACCCAAACATTCTAATATATAAACGCCATAGGTATATTACGATGATATATAGATATATTAATATGTGAAACAAACACTTTGTACACCTTTTTACGAAAATTGCGCGGACGGAGAAGTATGAAATTTTCCCACACTTAAATAGAATATTATAGAAAAGGAGAGCAGAATCAAATTTTTTTCAAATAATCCATAAATATATACATACATACATCAATAAAAAAAACATTCCACACACTACCATGTATTTTACAAACACGCATGTCTACTCTTTTGTTTATTGTAGTCTATGGTCAAATTGCGAATAGATTATTATTGTTTGTTTTTAATATTACTTATCTATAGTGTAGCCTTGGCGAAATCTGTTTTCATAGAAATAAAGTCTTTGAAAATAGAGCCATCATAATGTTAAAACTTATAATTTAGATCAGTAATTATAGCCGAATTTCGACTACTGGACGGCCACTAGTATAATTAAAACCATAACCCTTTAAATAAACATAAAGCGGTATTATATATGAAATTTAAATGCATGAAACAGAAGTAGGAAATAGTAAGAAGTCGTATAACTATATAATAGTAGGTATGTACCTACTGCGTACCTATTTATTTCTTACTATATAGTGTTGTCCACCTCGAGAAATAAGGTCGCGGTCTCAAATGCATCGGAATAACGGTTATCCAAATTTTTTAAATAGCTCATGGTTGCTCATGTATGCGGAAAATATAGGTAGACCATTAAATTTAACGCGTATAGATGCAGGACACTTTTTTTTCTACCTATGCTGATAGCCTTGAGAGGCTATTTCAGCTTCGCCTTGGACGTGTAGGTGAGCTCACTGGGCTCAAACCGGGAGTGTTGCTAACACTGACCCTAGCAAAAGCAGTACTTCGCAAAATCTACCACCGAATCGGAAATGCGACCCACTGAGAAAATCCGGCGAGAAACTCAGGTGGCTGCAGAACAGGCTCTAGCTTCTAGCAATTTATACGTTTTCTTTTTTATTATTTATACCCCTGAGTGTCTATAATGTCAATTATATTGTCGTGCAAATCGTGCAAATAATAAATAGATCAGGCTTAGTATATCAGTCACCTGTGGGTGTACTGCTGCGCACTGATGGTGTTTTGGGTGCGGAGAGTAAACGACGGCGGACCTCCGGAACAGGAGGTGCATTTTGATTTTCGCGTCTTGACGCTTCTGATATATATTTCAAAATGTAACTTAGTGGGATGCATGACGGCTGAGAAGCCTCTTTCTGCTCTACCACCTCCGGATCGTAATCTATTGAAAAAAGTAACTGCGCTTTAATCAACTGACAACTACAATTTAACTTAACTAACAATTTATAAAATAATAACTGAACTGAAAATTTTAGTTATTCTTTACAAAGTGAAAAACATTTAAAACGATAAACTTAAATGTAAATATTGTTATTGTGAACCTATTTAAAATTGACGCAAAAATTAATTTCAGTACTGACAACATGGAGGACTTGATAAGACGCAAAATGGGAGTATCAAAAATTACGGAATCAAATCAGGATTTAAAATTTTACATAACATTTATAATTACATAATTCTATTTACCTATATGAATATCCTCGATGTGTTCAATAAGTTGTGTTAATCTTGGAAATATAATTCCACAGTCATTAAATTTACAGATGTTAATCATGAAGACGGCCATGTCGCTGCGAATGCACAGTCAGTGTCAGAACCGTGCTAATTTTATACTATGCTATTATCGTCACCGTAAAAAAGGCTCGATTAATGAATAATTAATATATTACTTATAGTAAAAATATAAGTACTATTTTACTTTTGTAATCATTATTAATTGAACTAAAAAAAGGAAACGACATTTAAAAAGTACTGAAAGTATACACGACTCGCGCACCTCAATCAATAGTTGGCGGCGCCGAACGGAACTGCTTTCTGCGCCGACCAATAGCGTTGCGCGATTAGTACTCTGTTTCATTTCGCCACTCAGAAATTGAACATTCCAAAGGCCGGTCTCCTCCTTCTCGGTGTTCTTTGGTAAGTGCGGCTAAAATTGTGCTAAAGCTAATCGTGAAAAAGTGCCGAAATTACTAGCCATCGTTACAAAAAGAGTGTTAAATCCGACGTATACTGTCGTAAAGTGTGTGTTAGTGTGTATATTTATTTGTGAATTTCTAAATTGTCATAGAAGAATCCCGTCAAAGTTTCGATATCGGCAATTCGGCCATTTTCCGTAATTCTTCTTAAATCGAAGTAACAACATACAATACTGTAAATACCCTAAAGTAACGTCCCTTAAGCTATTGTTCTAAATCTTTACATAACAGTGTTGATATATTGACCTCAGTCGTCGTTACGTAGGCTAGTAAATTACGTAACTGCAATTCTTCGGTCAAACTGTCAAGTGTCTAATACAATATCTGCTCATTCGGGTCGGCACTCTGGGACTCTTCTCACCACTGTTAGCACTGAATTAATTCTAGCTTTACGGTTTATTTCAGTTGTCGCGCGCCGCACCTTATAAAAACAAAATGCTGTCTGCCGCCAGACTGATCGCCCCTGCAGCCAGGTCTGCCGTAAGTATAATCATTATATTGCTGATTATTATTGAATCTTTTCACGAAATTTACACAGTAAGATCTGTTAACTTGACATACCCATCAGCTGATGATAAATTGACCTTGTAGTTGATTTTAATAATATTAATAATCGCCTGTTTAATTTTTGGAAATGTACTCGCCATAAATTTAAACCGATAATATCCCGAAAGAACGCTTTTCATGATTGTAAGTTATATAACCACACAAACCGATATTTAGTGTTGAGTAATTAAAGATTTGTCTAATCTGAAAATTATAATAATGTAATAGAACATTAATTTAAGACAAAATATTTGTATAATGTGATAAGTATAATTGGTGCATTGCAGTATTTTTTTTATGTAATCCATTATATATAGCAAGTGACAGAATTGGATCTTATTGAATTGACTGTGATCTATTAGTGCTTCAATTCAGTATTTCTTTGCTAATTGTTGTATGTTATAGTGTTCTGTACAGTATAACATTTAAACACTCTTACAGATCTTCTGCAACTCTGCACTGGTGCGACCACTTGCAGCAGTACCCACCCATACACAGATGGTACCTGCGGTCCCTACACAGCTCTCTGCAGTGCGGTCCTTCCAGACCACATCGGTCACTAAGGACATTGACTCTGCTGCCAAATTCATTGGTGCTGGTGCAGCGACAGTGGGAGTAGCTGGTTCCGGTATGTTATTCTCATTTTTAAGCATGTGTATAATGCTCGTGGTTGTGGTGCTTTGAATTATTCCCCTGCTATTTCTGCAATAATTCTATCTGTATTATAATATAAAATTCATTTGGAATTCTGATCTTAAAAGGTACCTAAAAAGATTTATGCCAACATAAAAGAATAGACCACTCCCATGATTACATAACGATTTGATGAATAGATGTATAGATAGAGACAACAGATTGCAGCCCTGCTTGCATGCATATAAGTTTTCAATCTTGTACCCTAAGAGGTTGGTATAGAGGTATAATGTTAAACTAATAACATTTTAGAAGTTTAAAATGAAACTCATTCAAACCAACTTAGATTAATTTTATGTAATAAGTTTTCTCTTACATTGTCATTATTGATAACAATCTCATCAATAGATATTTATAAGAATATCTGATGAGAAATATAAAAGAGATACTATTTATTAACAGAATAACATAAAAAATTTAATCAGTTTACTAATTTTCAAAATATTAAAAAAAATATATCACAAAATAAATGTTAGATAAGTTCAATTGATCATTGCATAAAAATACAAATCCTCATCACATTTGTAAACTAACAAAAAATGTGAATTCACTAACATACTTTATATCCTACAGGTATTGGTATTGGAGTGGTTTTTGGATGCTTAATCATTGGCTATGCACGCAATCCCTCACTCAAGCAACAAATATTCTCATATGCTATCCTGGGATTTGCACTATCTGAGGCTATGGGACTGTTTTGTCTTATGATTGCATTCCTGATGTTATTTGCCTTTTAGATGTTTTTATTGTTTATGTACAGTGTATATTTTATATTATGGAAGTGCTTTGTTGTATATGCTGCATGATTTTGTGTGCAATTTTAATATTAACCATGAAGATCACAGAGGTGAGATTGCTTTCTAATGCTTGTAGTTTAGACTAAAACTGAATATTTTAAAGGAAATCTCATACCATTGAGCGCAAACCGTCGATAGATCGACTATTAATGTGTATAAAGTGTGGAGTGTCAGAATACTGACTGTTGCACACTTACTGTGCCGTGTGGACTTGTTTTAGCTTGCATTGGGTTTTTAATATGTTAATAACATTTATAAATAACTGTTTAAAAAGATTTTGCTATGAATTTAGCATTGATTTTTGTATGTTGTTAATTTTTTTTAAATGTACATTTCAAAAATCCTTTAGCAGTTGCGGCAAAATATTTAAAAGCTCGCACTAAAAGGGTTAAACAACTGTGTTGTTGTTAACAAATTACTTACATCACCATTAAAATTTCAGGAGCTGGTATTGGAACAGTCTTCGGCTCCCTCATCATCGGCTATGCCAGGAACCCCTCCCTCAAGCAGCAGTTGTTCTCATACGCCATTCTGGGTTTCGCCTTGTCTGAGGCTATGGGTCTGTTCTGTCTTATGATGGCGTTCCTGCTGCTCTTCGCTTTCTAAGCTATTTACTTTTAAGAACACTACTACTGCCATCCTACATATGAGGTTTCAGTGTATACTATCTGGAGTGGACAGCCATGGAATCGAATGTTTGGAAACCTCACCCTCATAGTGATGCAAGGACTGATGTGTGTTACACCTACAGTGCGCGTCAACAGGAATGCAATTTATTTAATTATGTAGTATAAACAAAAATCTGCAATAAAATGTTGTACGTAAACATTATGTTGATGCTGCAGTTATTTCTATTCCTGACTTTGTAGACTGTTATTATTAAAATCATGTTAAGCATTAGTGCACGAACATTACAAAATTCGATGACAATATAAAAATGAAGCCAGTTAATCTCGTGTATTTTGCGTGAGTATTGACATCGGGTTTTGTTATGGGAGTTATCTGTTCGAGAGTGTCGGCATCTGTATTGTACATTTTTAGGGCGATTAAATGATACATACCAAATACAAAGTATTAATTTCTTTATTGACCTTTGTTACCCGGTATATTGCATTCTAACTTCAAAAATAGTATAATTATAGTTACGAAATTCTCGATACAAATAGCTCTATTTAATATAAAGCGAGTGATTTTCTAAACGCTTATTATACCATCAAATAAAATAGTCATTTTTGAACTAAATAGTCCAGCTAGACATGTGGCTCCATTAAGCTAATCTAGTCTGCTAGAACGATAGCAAAGGCACCCAGATACGTTAGAAGACCCCAATCTCTGCAACATTTGATTTTGATAAACCTCATAAAAGCAGCTTTGAAGACTAACAGCCATATCCCATCCGATTGTAAGTAGGAACTATCGCTCAAACTTCAATTTCTAGGGGCACAGTCAAGCCTCCCAACTATTCGAAGAATTAATCGAACCTAATGGTTTCTGGTAATGGTAAAAACACTAGATCTTGTTAGATTTTCTTAGATACGCTACGTCATAGCACAGATACGCTATACAACAATGAACCAAAGAGCTGTACCTATGCACTACCATCTATGTAGTTTAAACAGTATTCGTAGGCGCTCGAGTTAAATGCAGATTTCAGGAATACTCTAGTGCTGCCACCTATTTTTATATATTCATAGCCCACTCAAAAACTTAATATGATACAGAGACGACAAAATTCGGAAAAATATTTTTTCGTAGTTAAACATGGATTGGTAACTGCTCATCCAGGAAAGTTGCGCCTAACGCAATCTCAATAAAAATAATAGTATTAAGTTGGTAGATCATTAAAATTACATCTAGTTTATCACGCTTTAGTGAAGAAGTGATAGCACGATAATTAGTAGGTCTTGTTGAAAGGCCTCACGGATAGATACCGATTCATAGCATATCCCTGCCGCACAGCAATCGTACATTTCGGTATGAAAGGCAAGACCCGCCTTCATTGCATTAAGTATGTGGTATCTACGCCCCACCCTTTTTACACCTTAAAGACAGTGGGCAATGAAGTAAATTTGTCCGTGTGCGCGTATTTCCAACGTATGGCGCAGTTATAGTTATTATTGCATATTTAATCTGCTCCAGCTTAAATCTCAGCATTGATTGAAACACTTTTTATAAATGATCTCAAAGGATTAGTATCGATCACTTTCCAAACAAAATGGAACACTTTTTTTGCCTGCTTGAGCTAGTAACCTAAAGAAGGACTATCCTAGCTTCACCGAGCGTGTAGGCTCACAGAGCTCAGCCTGGCGACTTCCTAACACAGCCTTAGCAGGGGACTACTTCGCTGAATCTACCACCGGACCAGAATCGCGCCCCACTGAAAAGATCCGGCGAGAAACTCAATGGTCTGTGAGTTAATTTTAACGACAAAAAGAGCAACCACTGCTTACAATACCTAAAAGCATCGATAGTATGAATACGAAATGCTACCTACCTCAGTATTATAAAAACTGAATTATCGGGATGTACTATACTATAAGCTCATAGACGTCAACTAAAGGACATAAGGATCCACTAGATGCAGCGCAGGGCAGGACCGGTCTTTTTGGTGGGGCTTGGGTTTAGTTGGGATATATATAGTATTAGAGTGAGATGCACAGTTATCAGAGGGGAATGGTAAGAAAGATGTATGTCGTTCACCTTAGGGCTCCAACAGCAATTTTAATAAACTTTTACGAATATAACATCGTAATGCTACCCCGAATAAAACAATATTAAATACGGGAGGAATGACATCAGAATTCTAACAACATGAAAATATATGCTATATTTAAATGGACCGATTATGCAAGGTATTTGAAAAAAATTGTAACGCTCTGCAGTATTTATGATTTTATATCCTTGGCTTTTATCGAACAGAAGACCGAGTTATATATTTTTTTTATTGCATAGATGGGTGGACAAGCTCATAGCCCACCTGGTGTTAAGTGGTTACCGGAGCCCATAGACAACCACAACGTAAATGCCGCCACCCACTAGAGATATGAGTTCTAAGGTCTCAGTATAGTTGCAACGGTTGTCCCACTCTTCAAACAGAAACGCATTACTGCTTCACAGCAGAAATAGACGGATTCACAAAGACGTCCTACCACCAGTAATTACGCAAATATAATTTTGCGGGTTTGATTTTTATTACACGATGTTATTATTCCACCCTCTCATCGTGGCCGCTGGAAACTACATACCCGATCCTGTAGACCGAATGGTAAACAGTCGCCGTCGCCCAAAGCACGTCATTACGGATCCTCCCGATTCGTTAACGGTGCTTTTAGGCACCACAAGCACCGGTTACCGTCCTCGTCGAACCCGTCGCTTGCGACGAAGGGGCGAGCAAATTAACCCATAGACACAACCCACTGAGTTTCTCGCCGGATCTTCTCAGTTAGTCACGTTTACGATCCGGTGGTAGATTCTGCAAAGCATTGCTCTTGCTAGGGTCAGTGTTAGCAACACTCCGGTTTGAGCCCCGTGAGCTCACCAACAAACGTTAGGGTGAAGCTGAAATAGCCTCTCAAGGCTATCAGCATAAGTAAGAAAAAAAAACACCGTAGAAGTCAATCGTGAACATTTGTTAAGTACGTATTTCATTAAAAAAACTAGTACCTACCAGCCTGGGATTCGAACACCGGTGCAACGCTCAACAAGAATGCACCGGACGTCTTATCCTTAGGCCACGACAAGAATTCTTTTTCGAAGAACGAATTTTCAACCTAAGAGAATTTGCTAACACTATCCCTAGGACTGCTTCGCAGAACCTGCAACCGGATCAGAATCACAACCAGCTGGGGAGATCCGGCGAATAACTCTGGGGACTGTATTTATGGGTTAAGTTAATGCTAAGTGATAGTGCTGAACTCCTCCTCGCGTCGTTTTCCTCATTACTGAGGGTCGAGACTCCCCCGCTGCATCAGTTTCTCCCATACGACTTCCCTCCATCTGCCGCGATCTTTTGCTTCATGAAGGGCATTATGGAAATTGATGCTCAGAGAAGATCGTACTTGGTCCGACCATCTCGTGGGACTGCGTCCTCTGGGACGTTTGCCATCTACCTTTCCTGTCACCANTGCGTCCTCTGGGACGTTTGCCATCTACCTTTCCTGTCACCATCAGCTGTTCCAGATTGTGACCCTCTTTACGAGCAATATGTCCGAAGAATTCCAGCACCCTACGAAGGCATATAGTGGACAGTCTGGCTTTGATATGAAGCTCTCTCAGAATAGACACGTTGGTGCGAAAGGCGGTCCATGGAATCTGTAGCATTTTGCTGAACTAATTAGAAATAATAAAACTAACATTATTTCAACAATTTATTGCAAATGTTTTCATATATTAAAAAATATTTAGGGGAGTACCTTTGTCAAATTATTGGAAAAACCTAATAAATAATTTTTACTAAGGTAGACCCTTAAATCTAAGGAAAAAATAACTGCACGGTGTCATAAACTAACCACATGCATTTAAAATGCAAGTATTTTAGAATTGAACGCTACGTCAAAATGATTATAGTCCAAGATATAGATTCGGAATGTAATCACTTTGGTGAAGAAAATATCAAAATAATGTAAAAACTAAATTATTTTTCAAATAGTCGTATTTCGTGCTTCTTTTCTTTATTTAATGAATTAAATGTGCCTACTCACTAACGTCGATGTGAACTCTAAATGGCAAATAATTTAGTGTCTACATTTTCTTGACGAAATAACCATTGAACAAAATGCAATGTGCATAGCATATTTTTTCTTAGGCACATATTCGAGTTCAATGCGATTATTGAACATTATACAGGTGCAAATAAATTTTAGTAATGTATAAGGCTGTCAATATAATCATTGCATAATTTTAAAGATTAGAAGTCATTTGTAACAATATTTCTCCTATCTGACTGTTGAACACAACAAAACAGATAAAACATTTTTCTCACAATAATTTCACTTACCCTACAGCAAAACAAAATAAGGCATTTATTCGTCCTACATCTATCAAACACAATACTCAGGATCTGTTCATCTGTGATTCGAGTTCATGAAGTTTACAATACAGTCAACATAATGCAATCTGAATTTTGAGATCAACATTTGTAGTATTATTTGGTCCAAAGTTACAATTTTATGATAAAAACTGTTCGCAAACTCGATCCACAGAGTCATCTTACATTATTTTTGGCTCAACATACATCATCATGAAATCTATACAAACTAAAACATCACCTTTCCACCATTTAAAATCTTTTACAATCTAACTTTTTTAATACAAAATATTTAATACAGTATATAAATAAAGTTCTTTTTGTATTTAGATTGCTTCTGTTTCAAACTGTGCACCTCTTGTGATAGTTATAGGTCCGTATGTTTCGTTTTGTTCTATCTTCAACACTTGATATTTCTTCAGAACAAGAAGACTGTAAAACTTTTGTGCAACCTGTTAAAAAATATCCAGATATTACATCATTGTCGTTTTAATCATTACCATAGATAGATAAGGCAGACAAGCTTATGGGCCATCTGATATTAAGCGGTAACTAAAATCTACATACATAAACATAAACATATCGAGGCCTTAGATGTATTATATTAATTGCCATTCTACCATTCAGCGAAACTACGAAAATATCGATTGGGATCGATTTAAATGCCTCGTATTTGCTATTCAAATCATAAAAGATTCTATTTACAAGCAGACATTTAAGCAGGGCAATTACCACCCATTTTAACATGGCTCATGTATATGTAATTTTGTTATCAAAACATAAAGGAAAACTGTTATATTGTTAAAACCAATTCGCCTCATCTTTTATTTTACCTGTTTCTTATTATTGTGTCTAGGCGCTAAATCTGCGAAGCCAAGAGTCATCCCCGCAGCAATCTTGGGTCTCATCACTGCGAACAGTTGCGCCGCTCGTCTATTTAAAACGCGCTGTTCGAACTGTTCGTCTGTTTCCCCAGCTTCCCTCTCACCATCGTCAGCCTTGTAAAAATTAGTTTTAAATTCAATGACTTGCATTTTCACAGATTGATCAAATTGAGGGGTAAAAGGCTACTTGGATTTAGCGATATTTTTGCAACTTTACTTATTGCAATTACTGAGATCGATTTAAAACTTAAAAGGACAATGCCCATTTTCTATGGGCGTTTGGGCCCCTAAAAAAAGTTGTCGCGTCATGATGGTTTTAACTTATTTTGATAGACAAAGAAATATCGTTTCGTATTCTCGTAAAATTAAGTTGTTAATTGTTTTTTTCGAAATCAATAATCGCTTTCATCATTATTTACAGTATTAAATAAGTTAATTGTGGTTAATGTTGCTAGAAATAAGCCCTTACGTACATTTTATTATTATTATATCCTCATAATAATAAAAAAATGTGTGCGTGTACTAGTGTACACACGTAAGAAGTGAAACTTATTTATGGCCTTATTTTTCGAAAAATGATCTACATGCAACTTTCTAGAAATTGGTTAAATAAAGTTAAATTAGATAAAGTTTAAACAAAAGGATTTTATTATCATAGACATGAATACAAAAAAGTTAAATTAGATAAAGTTTAAACAAAAGGATTTTATTATCATAGACATGAATACAAAAAAGTTAAATTAGATAAAGTTTAAACAAAAGGATTTTATTATCATAGACATGAATACAAAACAGATGGCGCGTAACGGAAAAATGTGACGCGTAACCGAAAAATGTGACGGTAAATTTTTTTCCAACGCCGATAAGGAAGTTTCACTTCAATAAAATGAAATGAAAATCCGGAAGCCGACAACGGTATTGTTGTTGTTTTTAAATTCGCCAATAAGCAGGCAAAGAGCGTAGCCTATACAGCCTAGTCTGTCGTAGTTATATTTTTTTATGTCAATAAAAAGCCGGTGTTTCTCTTTTTATTGCTTTTTGGGAGTTTTGACGTCAACTCGATGAATAGCTCATTGAGTGAGCATGAATTTCCGCAGACCTTTTATCTTGAAAAAAAACCAGTCACCGCTATGTTAGCCACAGTTTTATTCCAATGCCTCAATAATCGTGAACAACGATTATCTTTTTTTATTACACAAAACAACGCCCAATTTATATATTATACATCACAATAAACTATTAAAAAAACATTAAAATAAAACTTCAAGTGACGCTTCACTCGGGTTGCTGCCAAAACCCTCTGATCATATATAATAAGAATAGAGTAATGGTAGGCCATTGGGATTTTTACTAATGGAATCATTAATATCTAAAAATATTAAATAAAATAACTCATGGTTTTAAGTAATAATTATTATTACAATATATAAATATTGAACTGAACTAAAAAATGGGCGGAACAAAAAATAAACTAAAAATCTGAATTATAACTTTTTTTTTTTTTTTTAATTTGTTGTTCAAGTCACAGACAACTCTTTCGTTTGGCAGCATATAGGTTTACTATAAGGATTAATGGGCTAAGCCTTTTGCCTATTGGCGAATTTAAAAACTATGGCACTAAGTTTTGGGATGTTATCAAATAAGTAATTTATTTTTTTATAAAACAATGCCAGGGCGAAAGAAATGTTGATACATAAACTAAACAACGTAAAAAAAATAAGGCATAGTTTTTCAAGTACAAATAGTTTTGACATAAAGTTGGCCCACTTTTGGGCATTGTCCTTTGGAAAATTATCATTAAAAAAAATTACTTCTTCAGCTATTTGAATGGCTTCATTGAAGTTTATTTAAAAAATCGAATTGCTGATACTGATTACCAAATGAAACAGACTCATAATTACAAAGATAAATGTCGTGTATTAAGTAAAATGTCGCTTAAACCAAATAGCCTTACACCTCTGCATATATACGTAAATTTTTATTGCAGGCACAGGTGAATGAACCCACGGCACACCTGGTGTTAAGGGGCCATCCATAAAGTACGTCACACGTTAATGGGGAGGGAGGGTATCACCGAAGTGTGACATCGTGTGACAAGGGGCATGGGGGGGTCAATACTTTTGTGACGTCACATGTTAAAATTTAAAATACTAAAACGCAAAGTTTGTATGTGAATTAAAAATTTTAAAAATTTACAAACTTGATCTATATTTATTAATAATTTAGCATTCTCGCTATGCGATAATCTCTCATGCAACGTCATTTAACTTCTAGAGCGGCGTTGTAATGCAAGTGAGACACTCAAATTAGGATGTTCCTGACGTTCAAATTCAGAACGAAAATGAAGTGCCTGATTTACCAGTAATAGCTGATATAAAAGAGTGGATCCAAAGTCCATGGACACTCGATAATTAAGTTTTTTATCTTTAATTAATATAATTAATCGTTTATTATTTTCTAACTAGTCGTTTGTTTTTTCGGTTTTATGAAATGTTGGACTTTATGTTGATTTTATTAGATTATTATTTAATAAAAATAAGTAAAAAATGAAAATAGCTGTTTTCTCTCGATTATTTTTAAATACATACATAAATTTAAAAAATGTGTGACGTCACATCAGGAGGGGGGGGTTATAAAAATGTGACAACCTGTGACAAGGAGGGAGGGAGGGGTTCAAAAGTCCTAAAATTCGTGTGACGTACTTTATGGATGGCCCCTAAGTGGTTACCACAGCACACGCATATTCGAATGGGAATGCTCCACTGGATATGAGGGCTAAATCATAGGTGTATCGTTATGGCTACCTTACGGTTTTTACTATGTTCATCATGGAAGCCATTCATGAAATTGTGTAAATTTTTTTACATGCCTACGTGATTTGACCAATGAGGTACATAATAACTTGTAATAAGTACATTAAGTACAGTATACTCACATTCTCGGGAGTAGGCGGTAGATCATAGTCATGTTGTGGACTTTGATGACCATGTTGTTGCTCATCATAGCCCAAATTAGTCATCTGCATACCATTCTGCAATATGGGTTTAATATTTATATAAATGATACTATAATTTTTCTCATTTTACCTTTTAAAACATAAAATTCAATTATCTCAATTTATTTTAAGCATTTGAGAATAGTTGATGGATGGGATGGAGGATGAAGGCATAATTTTAATTTTATTCCGAAATTTTATTTAGTTGTTATTGTTTTTTTTTAGTATTCTATGAGATATGTTATTTTTAATGAATGTAATATGTATGTAATATCTGAAATAAATGGAAAAATAACAATAAAATAAAAAATAAAACATTATTACGTATTTAAGAAACTCAGGTCTCACCAAGTACTTAAGTCGTTACTGAATAAATAATTTAATCAAGAAAAACTAACTTAGAACCTCTATAACTGATTTTTTTTATCTAATGATGCCCCACATTCTCTTTTCGATACATTCATTTTATCTATGATTTCATTAATATCAGGATAAAATAAATTACATACAAACATAACGAAATTATAAAGGTTCTCTATATGATGTAACCCCAAAATAGTATTAAACTGTTAGGCGCAAAAGCCTCGTCCACCTGCAAGGTATATAAAAAAAGATTTTGGGGTATTGTAATTTTTTTTTTAATTGCTAAATGGGTGGACGATCTCACAGCCCACCTGGTTTTCAAACCGAAACGCATTACTGCTTCACGGCAGAAATAAGCAGGGTGGTGGTACCTACCCGCGCGGACTCACAAGAGGTCCTACCACCAGTAAAACTTTTGTTCAAAGTCAGACCTGTAGATGATCGTGGTCGTCGAGCGGGTTGTGCAGCGGCTCGAGGGGCACGGAGTGCGCGAGGTGGTCGGCGGGCGGCGGCGCGGACAGCGCGCGCCCCGACCCCAGCGCCGCCACCGGCTCCGCGCCGCACACCTGCGGCATCATCGGCACCTCGCCCGACACCTGCAGCAGCGCGCCCGACGACACGCCTGCAACGCCAGCGTAGACACATCAACAACTGTCTATTTACAAGCCGAATCAATACTTCTTGTATTTAATTATAAATTTAAAGGAAATAAAGAATTTTAGGTTATTTTAATACTATATATAACCTATTGTGAGATTAGCATTCACTTTTTTTTAGAGGCATTTTACGACCTTGTAGCAAAGACCTATAATTCATGTCTTATTTTAATTTATATTCTTATTTTTATGAAAAATTATAATATGAAATGAAGATGATTAATTTGAGACGTTAATCAACTGTGATGAACTTAAATGAAATGAGATGAGATGATGTGGGATGAAATATAATAAAATGGTGATTATTTACTGAGATTTTCTCAGTGGACTTTTTGGAGAATCCCGAGAAGTTACGTCCAGCTGCTTTGTTTCATTTTCCCACATTTGTGCACTTTCACAGATATTAAACAGTTAATAAACCACCGTTATTACACATTTAAACCTGAAGAAACACTAAATAGACAAAATAAAACAAATCACACAATTTCACTCCTCGCGTTCCCCGCCAAAAAGTCTAGCATTCACTTAAGGACACACAATGTTACTGAGATTATTGTTGTCTAGTTTAATATTTAACTTTGAAAACGGATACGTAAAATGCCCACTCTATTTAAAAAGTACAGATTCCTCAATTTTGTTTGCACTGGTTATTTTTGACCAAACGTAAGCATGCAATTAAATTGGCAATTATTTTAGTCAGCAAATTTTTTTGTGATGACATAAGCTACGAACATCGGTATTGAAGCCTACACATACACGAATAAAAAAAAAGGGGGTTTTAACCAACCTGCGGAAATCATGCCGCCATGTTGTAGCCCTGCCGGCGTCATACCACCGTGCTGCAGGCCTGCCGGGGTCATACCGCCGTGCTGCAGGCCCGCAGGCGTCATGGCTCCGTGCTGAAGTCCGGCCGGCGTCATGCCTCCGTGTTGGAGTCCGACCGGCGTCATGCTGCCGTGTTGCAGGCCGGCCGGGGTCATTCCACCGTGCTGTAACCCTACTGGTGTCATGCCACCGTGTTCCAACCCTCCTGAAAATATTATACAAACATAATGTATACGGATAAAATACTGCAAAAAGTATCAATAGTTAATTTAAAAAAATACTACCTGTACCCGACCGCTTCGCTGGGCATTTAAAATTAACATTATTATTTTTAACCCCCACAAACATTCTCATTATTTACGCCCTCGAAACTGGTGTAGGGAGTCCAACACTCATATAAATATTAGCCTATCCATTAAGTACATGTATTTTCTACATGGATACCAAGTTTCAAGTCAATCGGATGCATAGTTCAGTAGTTATAACGGAACATCCGTAAAAAACACTTAGATTTATACATTAGTCTAATTATAAGTCATTAATAATAATAATAATAATGATTATACAAGCAAAATAACACATACCGGGCGTCATACCACCATGGTGTAAGCCAGCGGGTGTAAGACCTCCATGCACTAAGCCCGCTGGAGTCATTCCACTATCCAAACCCAATCCTGGCGTCATTCCTGTATTTATAATCAAACATTAAAAATTAAACCCAATTAGGTATGCCAATATATAAAAAATTATCATAATAAAGCCTATATATTCTATTAATGTAGTATAGTAGCAGTATAATCTATTAATATACAATAAATATCGACGCTTGAAAGGCAAACGTGACTAAGCGACAATAACTGCTTTGTACATAAATGATAGGCAATAACCATATTCGATGCACAAAAAAAATATATTTCTAGGTCTATTAAAATCATTTTGATCCTACAGCTACTAGCTAGATTCTAATACAGCTGGATTCTTTAAAATAAATTTTGTTTTCAGGTATTTCAACTTTAAATTAGTCTACTGTAAAACTCACGCATTGTCGCTTAGTCACGTTTGCCTTTCAAGCGTCGATATATTAAAATGGCACTAATTAAAAATTTTAATGAAATCGATATATTTACGGACCTCCATGATGCAAGCCTGCTGGGGTCATTCCACTAGGAGGCAAGCCCAATTCTACGGAATGGTTTTCGCCATGTTGTAACCCCGCCGGCGTCATTCCGCCATGTTGCAGACCACCTGAAAATAATAAACCATGAATTGACGAACGAATTCATTATCTCCATTGAATTTTAAAACGTAAGTACATATATGAAACAACCAAATTGGAACAGAACTGAAAAAACATCGTTCTACAAAATACGTATACTTAAGCATGACAGCTTTGTAGCTACGCCCACTCATTTAGCTGGGACACATGGACGGCTATAATTGCATATTTGGTGTATCTATTTGTTTGCCTTTGTGCGCATATGTGAATAAGATCACTCACCTGGCGTCAGCGACCCATGCGCTAATGAAGGTGGTGTGAGTGCCGCCTGTAATAATGTGCCCGGAGTAAGTGGGCCCAGCCCTCCCGGAGTCAGCGGACCCAAGGACGACATTATGCCACCTGTAATACAAAGACATTTATAAGTTAATACGTAATATGTGAAGACTTCGTGATCTAAAGGACACAACGCCCGTTGCACTCGCATCGAGCGATGCGACTGTGCCGGTGTTGAATTTCAACAAGAAAATATCATTTCTTCCAATGAAATACGAAAACTGTTATTTGTGTAATTACTATATAATTGAGACAATAGACCGTCTCAAGGTGGATGGCGGAATTCAAGTTTTGATATCTATGGGTAATGGTAACAATTTAATAGTAGGTGGGCAGTGAACTTGTCTGCGGAATGAAAAAAGTTACACATTCACTTTTTATGATACTATTAGTTTGTTATTAAATTTTAATTAAGATTAAGAGGTTTTTGATTAATTAAATAATAGTGCTTATGAAAATAATCTATCTGTCTGACTTGTTAGTTTTAACTTTTATAACTCTGCAAACAAAAACATTCATGAAGTAGATTTCTAGTAACAAGACAGTCACAAAATAATGAACATAATTTTATGAAGTGTCAGTGATTGTTTATTTATAATACATTCAGTATTTCCCAATTTCATGGTATCTTTTTCAACTGTGGAAATAGAACCTTATAAAATTGTTACGATCAATAATATAAGACCTTTGAATAAATGACACCGGACCGATTTAAATTTTTGTCCATGGACATGATGTACAACATTAAGAGTATTTTTATAAAAATGCTAGGTAGAAACATCTGGTTGGGAGCCACTGGATGGTACATCTCACCTGGAGTCTGCGGAGGGTCTACATCGAGATCTGGACGCGGTGTTTGCGCGAACGCTCCCTCGCTCGTCTCTACTCGCCACCAAGCAACACAGTTAGTTAATAGCAGAACCCACACAGTTACATATGTTACTGTCTTTTTGTATGAAGTGTTACAGTTTAGTTACAGCGTTATTAAAGCACGTATTACCATCACCTGAATGAATGCGTGTACGTTAACAACAACTTTTATTAACCAAAAGCCCGAAAATATTAGTGTCATAAAAAGTTTGCATGACGCATGTCTATGTAGTGCTTAATGTTTGTGTTGTATTGGACCCCTTCCCCTTATTTTCACACTCTACATAATGTAATCAATATATAATTAGGAAAAGACAAGTTAGGTAGTATTTAAATCGCTCAAGTAATTATGATTAACTTTTAAAATGAACGTGTACTTATGGTGTTTTTTTATTTCCATTTTGGCTTCAGGCTCAATTCTTTATGCACTGTATAATTACAATAATTATTTTTATGTTCAGTCATATCTATCAGGCAAATATTCCCAGATGAATATTTATTGTCGTTCGATCTGTGAACCTAGGCAAAACATACTAAACATCTCAGACAAGATTTCCATAAATTCTGTAAAATCACCAAGAGACCACCTCAAGCAGGGTCCATATACACAAGGAAAGAATCATGTAGAATGCAACCGATATGATGATTTTAGTGTTCATTCTGTAGAAGATGTACATACATATCGACGCTTGGAAGGCAAACGTGACTAAGCGACAATGCATGAACTTTACATTACACTAATTTAAAGTTGAAATACTTGAAAAAAATTCTATTTTAACGAATCTAGGTGTAGGATTGAAATTATTTTAATAGACCTAGAAATATATTTTTTTTGCGCATCGAATATGGTTATTGCCCATCATTTATGTACAAAGCAGTTATTGTCGCTTAGTCACGTTTGCCTTTCAAGCGTCGATATATTCATATGTAGTTGCGTAGTACATACCGACTGAAGGTTCATATTCGTGCGGCATTGGAGTGGGTGCCTCCAGTTCGACGGGCTGAGGCGCTGGTGTATCCGGAGGCGGTAAATGCTGAAAGTCACCAATAACACAAAAGTTAACTTTACTCTGTAGAGGTTTTTTTGTTCATGCAGATAGGTACCAACCCCACAGACCACTTGGCATTAAGTAGTTAACTCTCCATATTGAGACAAAGTGGAAGTAGGAATTGTATTCCAAAGTATCCTACGCCAGTTTGTGGTGGAAACTACCCATGTGGATGCACAATTTGCCATAACATCAATAAAATTGAGGGTCAAGGATAGGGGCACAATTTGTGAAGAATATATAAGTGAGGAGATAATACCCACCAGACAGAATATTGTCAGCATAAGATATACACATAGTGTTATTATTAAAATATTATGGCCTCTTCAAAAATTGTACTAACACAGAATGAATATTCTATTTCTTTAAGCTGTGCTTTCACACATCAATTACTGGACTGAGTTAAAGTAATTGTCTGCACTACAGTAAAGATGTCTGTCATACTTAGTGGACGCATCTCATATATTTAACTTTAGTTACAGGATACTAAGTTTAATTGATCGCAAAAACAAAAATAATGATAAAAATTGCTTTTAGTTATAATAATTTAATGTTTATTTTTGGGTACTTTGATTTGTTAATTTCCTTCCATACTATGTTGCCTCTGTCTGTAAACACGAATAAATAAATAAATGAAATATTCTTACATCTTCATGTTTACGTTTACGTCCGCCTCGTCTCACGACGCTGGGTTCAGGGTCTGGTGACTTGGCCTCTTCTTCTGCCTCACTGCGCAAGGTCATGTTACGCTGGTATTTCTGTTATAAACAAACAATACTTGAATATGTCATGCTTACAGGTATACTAAAAAAATTATGGACAAATTGCATTTTAATTTCGTAGTATTTAGATAAATATCTATTCAAATAAATCTTTGTGCCCGTCGATTTAATATATTATTAAATTTTTTGTCAAACACGTTTTTGAGAGTCAAACCTGCGAAATACACAACTTAAACGCGACAGAGAAATGGGATTGGGTGACATATATGTCATATAGCACTCATTCCCCACACTATCATGCCTTACAGTATTTGATAAAAATACTAAGTGTATATGAACCTTTGGAACCGTTTGGAACCTTTGGGTCTGCGGAGGGACTTCGGTTCCCTCTGTATTTTGTACCGAATGTTCCATGGGGAGTGCTCTGAGGAATTGTTCGAGATGATACCGGCATCTCGTTTTTACCATCGCACCGCCCGCCACCGGAGTAGAGTTCATCCATACTACCTGGAGCCACTGCGGGCATCGACAGTGCGTTTCCAGAGGTCTTTTCTGCCACGTACCATCCGACTATGGAATGAGCTCCCCTCCACGGTGTTTCCCGAGCGCTATGACATGTCCTTCTTTAAAAGAGGCTTGTGGAGAGTATTAAGCGATAGGCAGCGGCTTGGCTCTGCCCCTGGCATTGCTGAAGTCCATGGGCGACGGTAACCACTCACCATCAGGTGGGCCGTATGCTCGTCTGCCTACAAGGGCAATAAAAAAAAAAAAAAAAAAAAAAAAAAATGAAGTAATAGTCATTGGTTACCTTGAACAGAACTCTTGATGGGATCGGTCTAGCTGGTAATGTGAATAGCTTTTCAACACCCCCAGTTTCCTTCCAGTGCATAAGACGCCTAGTAGGGGGAGCAAGATCTAACGTTGTTACAATATCGGAAGTGTTGCTCAGTTGGTTTTTCATTTCTTCGCCCGATATGTTTTTTATTTCATCCACGATAAGCTTACGTTTGCGTTTTGTTTTTGTTATTCCTGAAACGCAAAACAATTGTTTTCAAATTTTATTTTGAGAATTTTTGTATCATACTTAAAATACGAAAGCAAAATAAATAGCAACTTACATATTTTATAGGTGTATAGTTTACAAAAGTAGATAATTTTTTTTTTCAATACAACACAGGCAAATTTAAATGAGAAAATCTAACCTTTTAGTACTGTGGCATCAACAGGTGCAAGTGCAAATGACTCTTCATCGTTGTTGAGCAGCGTGGTGTTATCCGGAGGCTCAACAGGACCGGGGGTCGGCGGTGCGGGCTCCGGGATCTCATCAACTTCCTATTTGTATACCATATTATTATTATTATTATCATCACAACATTTCTAAATAATTGTATCTTACAAAGTAACAAACTACAGCAACTGACCATTGGTCTGACGGAGGGCGGTCGAGGTACGGGCGGGGGCGCCATTTCCGGTACTGCTTCTTCTTCGGGCACCGGCTCCTCGCGAACCGGGGATCCACCCCAACTGAAACATTGCATAACTTTTATATGCAACTAGTGGTAAGAGTGAGTCCCCGCAGGTAGGTACCACTACCCTCCTTATTTCTGCCGTTGTAACTATACTGAGACCTTAGAACTTATATCTCAAGGTGGGTGGCGGCATTATTTACGTTGTAGATGTCAATGGACTCCAGTAACCACCTAACACCAGGTGGGCTGTGAGCTCGTCCACGCATCTAAGCAATAAATAAAGTGTCCGCTCAGATTATGAAGATAATTTCTTTTAATAATCCAAAGGTAAGGATAAAAGGATATAGAGTAGTTTTGTACCTGTGGTGCGGCGAGGGCGCGTCGTAGTGGTCGGGCATGTCGTCGTCTGAGTCGGGCGCGTCCGCCGGCCCCGCGCCCGCCGCCTCTATCTCCGCCTGGGACGTTACATGTTGCGTGACTACTGGTGCACTCTCGTTATGTGTTTATTTTATATTAATAGCCCTTAATTTATTAATTAAATTAATCAAATTAATTCAATTAAAGTAATCGTTCATTGTGGCGGACTATGGGAGAGGCCTACATCCAGCAGTGGAGAGATACAGGCTGATGATGAGGTTTGGAGGAGGCTTTAAAGGAAAAATCCCTGACCATATGACCACCTACCCCAGGATTTGGGTTCGATTTTCTTTCAGAATCAGTATAATGATATGTACTAAAGACGTTTTACTGATGATAAGATTCAAAGTATTATAAAAAATTACAATATTTGAAAAAATCGAGCTCTAAATATATTTTTCGTTCTGTTCTTGACCCATGTAACTGAAGAAAATCCTGGTTTGTAGTCATTAATCTACAATGTATAATTGAATTTATATTATTAAGTGAAATTTTTTGGTGCCATTCTTATTTAAATCTTGATAATACAATTGAATGTCAATCATAAAGCGACATAAAAATGAGACAAACATTACACGTAGAGAGACAGGCTTGCGACATTAGTAGTCAAAGAAAACAAATAGACCACAAATAATACAATATGAATATAACCAAGCACGAGGGAACCTGAGTTCAGCATCTCGACCACAAGTGTCCTACCCTTCAAACCAGAAAATGATGTTTAAACTGCTTTGCAGCAGGAATAACCGATTGTATTATTAGCCTATTATTATAGCCTGCTTGATCTTACAAAATCACCATAGTCCTCAAACACTATATGGTGAATCCCAATGTCTTTCTCGAGACATAAGAGAACAATAAACAAAGATTCTCACCAATTGGATAAGAACACATAAGATATCAAGTAATTTGTTATAATATCCACTTAAATAGGTTAATGTTTATATTTGTACCTGTAAAGACTGCGGTTGTGCAGAAGCTCCAGGCATGCCTGAAGCCGTGCCTGAACCACTTGCGCTAGCTGTAACATCTCCGAACAAATCTCCTTCGAACAGCCCTCCTGCATCTGGTTAAGAATTTAAAGTTTTTGTTATTTGAATTCATCATATAACATGTCAAGAAAAAAATATTGGATTGATCATTAAGTTGTATTAAAAGAATGGAGAAAAGAAACAAAAGAAACAAAAATTCTAATATAGGACCATTTATAACTTTATGTAATACAGAATGAGTATCTAACAGGAGTTGCTAATTTTTTTCCAAGAATAATCCCCAATATTTTTAGGTGGGTTCAGGTAGGTTTTTTAGATGTATTACTTTTTTTTTCCTAAATAATTAGACACAAAAACAAATTAACAAAAAACTGACCAGTTATCCACCAAAAACTTGTCTGATCATGGCTGTGTTTTGATAGTATTGCACATATTTCCTTCTAGTTCCAGTTCCAAACCCAATAAGAAGCTAGAAAAATATTGATAAATACTTACGTCCAAAGTCCGGCACATCTCCAATAGTACCACCGAAACCATCATCTACAGGAGCATGTGGGGCTGGCTCCAAAGTGCGAGCGTGCACTGAACCTGGACCTGAACTAGACTCCTTGCCTCCCAATTCTAATGATGACCCATCAGCAAAAAGTAGGTTGCTCTGTTGATGTTCATTAAAAAGCTGATATTAATACTCAATCTCAGTAACATCGTATAATAAAAATCAAACCCGCAAAATAGTACATTGTGCACCAAGGGAGAAAAATAGGACATTTCCTCCCACGTGTAAAATTGCCAAACATGCAGAATGAAATGTCCTACTTTTTTCCCATATACTTATAAAAAAACAATTAAACTGTTTTTTAATTTTTAAATAAACTACTACTAATTGAATAAGAACTGTCTGATGAACTCATCTTTGTTTAATACTTCACTATTAAATTTTATTTCCTTTTGTTTATTCCCCTTTTACACTAAACACAATATTGCAAATTACCCGAGAACAACAATGGCAGAGAATTTTAGGTGCATGAGAGCAGACATAGAAACTAACGCGCATGCGCACTTGTACCTCCTCCTCAGTACCCACGGAGGAAAAGTTAAACTTTCTTCCCTGTACAGCAGGAGGAAAACCGAATTTTCGGCATAGGTAGGACAAAAATATAATTTGTGTAATTACTGGTAGTAGTACCTCTTGTGAGTCCGCACGGGTAGGTACCACCACCCTGCCTATTTCTGTAGTGAAGCAGTAATGTGTTTCGATTTGAAGGGTGGGGCAGCTGTTATAACTATACTGAGACCTTAGAACTCATATCTCAAGGTGGGTGGCGCATTATGTTGTAGATGTCTATGGGCTCCAGTAACCACTTAAAAAAACCAGGTGGGCTGTGAGCTTATCCACGCACCTAAGCAATAAAAAAAAATCTAAGGATGTATAAGATGATAAAGAAGGATAATAAATGAACTCTGAGCTACACACTTATATCATATTTATTAAAACTGCAATTGCAGATGAATAGCTATAAAGATTATCTTAGATTATTAGAAAACTTTAATTGGTAGGTTATTATGTACCCTAAAAATCATGAATTACAATCATACCTGCTCCAGTCCACCTTCAGAACCAATAGCTTCTCTCATAATGTCAGGATTATCAGTGTCAAAACCCATGTCTCCAAAGCCATCATCATGGGTGACAAGGTTTAATGATCCATAATCCTCCCGCATCGTGATCTCTTCTGCTCTTGACTGGTTTAAAGAGAATTGGGCTTCAATATCAACCTCACTAAAACATTTTAGAATGGTGTAAATGTTATACAACACAAGAAATGCACTTGAAAAAATACCATTTTATTTCATTGACGAAGTATGTTTATACTTCTTGTAAAGTTGTACAGTTTCAAAAGATAGAACAATTGAATTTTTTAGACTTTTGTGATATTTTGTAAATTAATTACAAATAACAACCAATAATCATAGTAATTTAATTATTCCTTAATAATAGCATTATTTTATCGTAATAATAACTAATAGAGGGAAATCAATAATATTGAGAATTTTTAACAAGCTTTACTGTGTTATTTTTGTCTACATATTACAGTATACTTACAGTACTACTGACACTTTAATACTCACTTTAATTCAGGCATGGCCGTGTCAAAGTCATGAAAGACCTCTGGTAAGGTGATAGCATTCATAGCAGCCTCCCTGTGCTCTTCGGGAAGATCTACCATGCCAGGTCTGAAGGCCAACTGTTTAATTTGAAATTAAGATTTTTTTTCAATTAAGTAAACATAGATTTGGTGAACTTATTCACTAGAATTGATTTAAAAAATGTGTACCTTAATCTTGACAAAAGCTTCGTTACAGTCTTGCAACAGATACTTGGCTTTTCTCGAGTAGATTCTCACAACTCCAAGCAAAAGGTGTCCAGAAGTACGCAATGCCATCTTCACTTTAGGCTTTAAAATACCATCAACTGATTTCTCGATATTAGTTTCAAATACGTGTGCTTTTGTCAATTTCTTATCCCAGTGGGCCGCCAGCCAAATCTTGGCCAGCGGACCCTTCTTAGCCAGCACAAAATGTGCATAAAACATGATGATAGTGGCACTTCCTGATCAAGAATCACATCAACACTTTTCTGAAATTATAAAATTAATTTAAATATTTATATATTGGGTTGCATATAACAAAGTATCAATTGCAAAACAATTTAATAACGATAAACACCACAGCCCTAAATATTGTTTGGCATTTGTAACGAACAACTCGGAACAACAGTAAAGTAATTTGGCGCCTATTCTATTAATGAAGTGAATAATCACTTTTCGTAAAAAAAATATTAAAATAATTATTTTAAAATCACAGTTATTGTAAAATATTATGTAAAATGATCTTATTACCAATTATTTAGTCACACATTAAATATTTCACTTTTTACAATCAACGTAAACATGACAACAATTACGTTTTCAAGATGGTGTCCACTTGTGTTGCCAGTACAATTTTATTTTCAATTCGAGATAGGTATAAAGCGGAAAGAAATGAAACCGTTACTTTTTAATTGATGCTTTATAAAACGAAATTACATGAAATAATATTATTATTAAGTAATGTCCCAAAAAGTGGTAGATATCCACACTAACTGCTACAGTTAATGAAATTTTTGGAAGAAGTTTTGCAGTTTTGGAAGAAGCATTTAAACATTCAGCCATTTTGTTTGATGCATTAAATTTTAATGCATCAAACAAAATGGCTGAATGTGATGTAAAACAATTTAATCCAGTGTCTATATTTTGGAGAAAATTAAGAAAAATAGAAGGTGAAAAACCAAAAATTAGTAATAAAACATATATCAGCTATTTCGAAATTATTCTCCTCATTACCTTCGTAGCTACTGAAGGAACAATTTTTTTTTTCTTTTATGGGTGAACGGGCACACCTGTTTTCTTTAGCGCTGAGGAATCCATTTACGGATACTCGGTCAAGGGCGGTAACGGACCGGGCTATGTCGGGCTCCAGCGCCTCCAGAGAGGAAGTGGGAGACGAGAAAGTCAAGGTTCTTCACCTCCCCCAATTCCTCGTAGGAGACTACGCCTTGAAAAAGGCGCACGAGGCGCTCGCCCCGCAAAATCATGTACCAACTTAACCCCATCGAGCCTTACGGCACCGGCTACACCAAACCTACGGTACCGCAGTGTGCGCCGAAAGTCCACCTTCAGCGGTAGCCGTCCTGATGATACGACGGAACTTCATCTTTGTGAATATCTCGAAGGGCGTCGTTTCGGGAGACACACCGTGGGCGACGCACAGGAGCCATCTTGCACCACCTCATCACCGGACCCATAGTTCGAATACCGGGCGTCCCCGCACCCGGAACCCAACAGCCCCTACGGTGGCTGAGCGAGAGCATCACATCTGCGCTGCCCACCCTACCTTCGTTGCTGAGAAGCTGAAGAGGGATCCTACTCCCTTTCGCACTCCTCAGCTTCACGGAACGCCATTACCAGGTCACAAAACCTGGCCATGGCCTCCCACGGATTCTGGTCCTTTATTTTTTTTCTATCTAAGCTGATAGTCTAGAGCAGGGGTCGGCAACCTGTTTGTCCTTAAGGGCGCAATACTAAATTTGAAAATCACCGAGGGCGCATATTTTACAGATAATCAACAGGTATAAATAGGCATTAAAAAAACAGATTTTTTATAACTTTATTTTGTTGGTGTCATACATAATGATACATATTATTCAGTGTGAAACTATAGCTATAATTAGGAATATATCTTAAAGATATAACTATAACTAACTTATAATTGGGGAGATATTTAGAATTCCCGGTCCTTAAGCAATTATCTAAATGTGTAGTAGTACTTTTAAATGCACGGTCTACGCGTGGTCTAATCGAAATACGATCACACACTAACAAAAAATACGTGCGTGTTATTAGATACGCTCAAGGTTAGCAAACTGCTAATCTATGCACAATCCTAAACTCAACTGACTACTTGCTGTATATCGCCGTTTGACAAGAATAAGTAAATTGCTCTGGCTATCATACATTTACATTAGTCCAGCGAGGGCGCAATACCGACCACCATTGCCGACCCCTGGTCTAGAGAAACCATATCAGCGTAACCTTAACTAGCGAGCTCACGGGGCTCAAACCGGACGATGTTGCTAACACGAACTCTAGCAAAGAGCCGTGCTTCGCATAATCTACCACCGGATCGAAAACGCGACCCACTGAAAAGATCCGGCGCGAAATTCAGTGGGCTATGTCTATGGGTTAATTTATTCGCCGAGCCCTTCGTCGCAAGCGACGGGTTCGCCGAGAACGATGACCGTTGCTTGGGGTACCTAAAAGCACCGTCTGGTCCTCTAGCATGCGGGCGACGACAACCTGTAAGGAGAGGTCCTTCTCCAGCACTGCGATGAGATCTCGCCGCGAGTACTTCCAACGCAGGCACGCTTCGTGCGCGTGCTGAGCGTCATCGTCCGGATGCCCGCAATGATGGCAACCCGAATGTAGCTCTCTCCTGTAGATTTTCTACAGGTACCTCCCGAAACAGCCATATCCTGAGAGGACCTGCGTAAGGCGAAAGGAGAAAACGCCGGGTTGCCGATCCGACCATGCCTCCAGCACGGGCACCTGGGCTTCGAGGGTGCGCCGGCGGGTGGCCGAAGCTTGCTTGAAGCTTTTGTCTCAATTTTATTGTAATTACACAACTAATAGCTTTTGCAGCTTTGATTTTATTACACGATGCTATTTCTTGATCCTGGAAGTATTTCTTTATTATTTTATATTATCGTATTATCTTTATCTATTTCCAGGATTTGCAAATCAACATTATCAACAAAGTCACATCGTTTGACCAGACGTCTTATCTTTTGTCCTACGAAGACTTCAACAGTGTGTCCGGATTTCTATATATATAAATACCCAAAGTACTGAATAAAAGTTTTGGATCGTTTTAGTGGATTGTTTTATAGTGGCTAAATCATGTTGTGTAATCTATGGTTCAACCTTTACTTGGATAATGCATTATCTGTCTCATCGACAATAAACTTCATTTTATGATCTGTCTATCGGTTTGTAATTTGTAAACTCTGTGCACAGTTTAGTTTTCTTTTACGGTTTACCTGTGGGACACGCGAGACGTATGTACTTGAAAAATTAAATCTTTCAAAATCAAACTAATCCTTTACTAGTATCTTACAATAATGTTAAATATTAAATTCAGGTGAACGCCTGGTACGAAGTTCTCTCCAATTTTCAATAATAAATATTGTGTTTCAGTGTGTTTTCACAATGTCAAATTTGCGGCCAATCGAGCCTTTTCTGTGGCCAGACCGATGATGTGACTTCTGATCAATTTGTATTGATTTTGTTACTAGGTCTGCCACAGGCTGCTAAGATGGGTGCCTACAGATATATTCAGGAGTTGTATAGGAAAAAACTGAGCGATGTTATGCGTTTTTTGTTGCGTGTGAGGGTATGGCAGTACCGTCAGTTGACTCGTATGCACCGCGCTCCCAGGCCCACAAGGCCGGACAAAGCCCGAAGACTAGGCTACCGTGCTAAACAAGGTGAATAAACCACATTTATTTACGATACTGATTGGCAAGCGAAACTTTTGACTAATGGTCGTAATGTGTTTTTGTAGGTTATGTTGTATTCAGAATCCGTGTGCGACGTGGTGGCCGCAAGCGTCCAGTTGCTAAGGGTGCCACTTATGGCAAGCCCAAGAGCCATGGTGTCAACCAGTTGAAGCCCACGCGCAACCTTCAATCCATTGCTGAGGTGAGTTCGATTTGAATTAGTAGTATTGTTTTTGACAAGTTATTGCATTACACGTTTTTAGTATTCGTGTATATTATAAGATAAAGTTAACACCCAATCACAATCATGTATCCGTAAAAAAGCTTTTTTGTTGTTTTAATTCGTAATATGTGAAAATTAAATTAAGTACACAAAACTACCACTTTGAATATCTTAAATGTGCAGTAAAATAACTTAGGTCATTAGAATAATTTTCACAGCATTACGGTCTCGATAAAAAATGGCAAATTGAAATGAGATGTTGATGTATTATAACTTATAATCTACTAATAGGAGCGTGTTGGCCGTCGTTGCGGTGGTCTCCGTGTGTTGAGCTCTTACTGGGTTGCACAAGATTCTTCATACAAGTATTTCGAGGTTATCCTCGTGGACCCATCACACAAGGTAATTATGCCCAATTTTTTATATGGTAATGTAACTACTGCCTAAACCCTACAAGCTATAACATTCTACTTTAAACAAAGCTAGTTTTTTAAGTACTATCTGGTAATTAAGAGTATTTGAATGATGGAGGCTGCTTATAATTTTTACTTATAGTAATGAGTATTATTGCATTATTAATTTAAATGATGAATTTTTGTCATGCACCAATCTGAAAGGTTTTGCTGAAACTTCACCTACCATTTAATCTGAAATTGTATAAGATTTAATATAGTTGTCCCAAAAATATTTTTTTTTGTTGTTAAGTCTTACTCTTATTTGTTTAGGCCATTCGTCGCGATCCTAAGATCAACTGGATCGTGAATGCTGTACATAAGCATCGTGAGATGCGTGGTCTGACTTCGGCTGGTCGCAGCTCCCGAGGTCTCGGCAAGGGACATAGATATTCTCAAACAAAGGGAGGCTCACGCCGGGCAGCTTGGCTGAGACGCAACACTCTTCAACTACGTCGCAAACGATAAACATCTATCTAAAACTGTCAGTGACTTTCCATTTGCTTATTTTTGTATGCAGATGGAAAGCCAGTGGGATAATAAAATATTATTGCTAATTCAGTTTTTGCAATTATTATGGTACCTATGTCTACTGTCTGTGTAAGTATGTTTGATGTATTGTTCAATGTTTATTATGGCATTTGGTAATTAACAATTACTATTTCACCAGGTCATTCCAGTTGAGATCGGCTTCAGCCAACTACTTGAAAAGGTACTTCAATTTCTAGTCTCTTCTTAAAGCTTACTAAATAAATATTTCAATGATGATACAATGCTTTATGAATGCGCAACCATGATTACCACGCATTTCAAACTTCCTTGGATGGCTGAATAAATTTAGATCCATATAATATATAGTATTTATATCCCACAGTAGCATATAATAAATGATTTTTTTGTTTACAGTTTTATCACTGGCTGATGTCCATATCCCCAAAAGGTAATTATTTCATATAAATTATTAAAACTTCATCCAAATTCAATTTATTTCTTGTTGTTTTTACACTGTAATAAGAAATTGAATTTGGAAATATCAAAATATTGTCTAGGTGAGGTTCCTGTTACTTATTGACAGTAAACCTCAATCCGGCAACAAACATGTATATTATTTGGAATTTATGTTGTGACGTGTTTGTTAGGTAATAGGGTTGTTTAAATAAAGAAGAATTACATACATTGTCTAATGAAATAAAATTTGAGTGACAGACTATGCTATTCACCTTAATGTTTTTGCTAAGATTGTTGTGAAACTCACACTTAAGTTATAAAGCTGAGACAGTTTTTACAATTAAATGGAGAGCTTGAATATATATTGATGTAAATAAATATATCAAAACTCGTGTTGGATATTTAAGAAAAATTAAAGGGGGTACCTAATTCAATAAATAACAGAAATTGAACTGCCCTAATACATTGAATTTTCGGTCTTGTTTGTTTGTTCTCGCGTACCTATATCTGAAACTTTACAGCTTTTCATATTGTCACAGGTAGATTCCGGTAATGAGAATACAACAAATTTCTACAAAATATAGGCGTCGTTCTGTCTTTAAAAAAATCGATTTCAGAAATTTGTTTTTTTTTACTGATAGGAATTAAGATTGAAAATAATATTGTCTGAAAGTAAGTCATTTTTACGTTTCGACACGGAAACCATTAAACCGATTTTCATGACATTCAATATGCAAATAGTTGAGCTGTGGGGAAAAAAGTGGAATACATTTTATCTTACTTCTGAGCACATGTTACAAGTTCACACATTGCTTAGTCAATAAAAAGAAACAATATTATTATTATCAAAGGCATTCAACTATTGTTTTTATTCTATTTCAGGTAGTCTACAGCTTGGCTCTACCTCTGTCATTGCTGAAGTCCATGGGCGACGGTAGTCACTCCCCATCAAGTGAGCTGTATGCTCGTCTGCCTACTACAAGAGAAATAAAAAAAAAAGAGTCCACAAAGGGGCGGATCATTGAACTTCGGGAAGAATTTTAGTAATGGATATAAATCAGTCGAAATAAATTACTACCTACCTATTAATATTGGTTTAATTTTTGTAGTTCTGTGTTTTTTATTATAGAGCAAGGTAGTTTTGCCATTAATGTAGGTAGTCACCTTACGATCTACATTTTAGGAGTTTTGCAGACTGGTAAACGAGCCCATTTATCGCTAAGCAGTTACCATTACCCATGACATCACAATCTGAATGACACCACCTGTCTCTTCCGAGAACAATTTTTCAGTTACATAATTACTCATTTCGAATTTGACAGTAATTGTAGATGCAGTACTCTTGCTGACAAATAAAATTAGTGAATTTAGTTCAGCTATCACAGTACGCCAGTATATTATTATATTTTAACTATGAACCACTCCTGTGAATTCCCTTAGTCGCCTGTATGGCGAGGATGGTTGATGATTTAACTTCAGGTAGGTAGGTAACCTATCTGAAATAAAAATTACACCCATTAATTTTAGTAATTTTATTTTTTTATTGCATAGATGGACGAGCTCACGGCCCACCTGGTGTTAAATGGTAACCGATGCATTAAAAAATCTATGAAAAAATATAGGTAGCTTTTTATAAACTTTATTGGGTACATACATACCTAGTAGTTTTATTTAAAAAAGCAAAATTCAAAATTTAGTACACATCCACACACCAGTGGATCCAAAATTATGGACATGACACATCAAACAATCAAATCAAACCCGCAAAATTATAATTTGTGTAATCACTGGTGGTAGGACCCCTTGGGAGTCCGTACGGGTAGGTACCACCACCCCGCCTATTTCTGCGGGGAAGTAGTAATGCGTTTCGGTTTGAAGGGTGGGGCAGCCATTGTAACTATACTTGAGACCTTAGAACTTATATCTCAAGGTGGGTGGCGCATTTACGTTGTAGATGTCTATGGGCTCCAGTAACTACTTAACACCAGGTGGGCTGTGAGCTCGTCCACCCATTTAAGCAATAAAAAAATTCAAAAAACATATCGAGGCGTGAAAAGCTATTTGGTATAAGCGACATTTTTGAACCTTTACAGGAGAGCCATTTAAAGTTTAAAATTTAGAAAAAATATTGAAGTTCAATTAAAAACATCGAACTGTTGATGTTAATATCAAATAAAACGCACATTTAATTACAAAGATAGATGTCATGTATTATGCGCGCATATGTCGCATAAACCAAACAGCCTTCATCCCTCGATATGTGAGTCGTCTATTATCAAAGGAGGCAATCTGTGCATTTGGACAAAAAAATTTTATTGATATGTCAATACAGATTGATTTCAATATAATCGTCTCCTTCAAAGAATACGGTTCAAAACCTGCATTAAATAAAGGTCTCTAAGATGTCGTTCAGAAGAGTTTTGTAACTGCCAATGGAATACAAAGTCAATAATTCGTTTTTCTGATTTACCAATAATTGTCCAAAAGTCACATTGCCGGCTTTGATAATAGTCGACTCATGTACTGTATTCTACAATAAATACATTCATCAAATAAAATAGCAATATCTCAATAGACCTTATATTTTCTTTGAAACTTAAAAGTAATTAACAATAAAAATATTAACATATAAAACTCGTGGCAATATGATTGTATTTAAAGAAAACCACAAACCCAAGTTACGATACTAAACTGAAAACTTCGAGATTAATAACATACTTAGGGTCTAAATAAATTATAAAACAAAAATAATTTTCTAATGAGGCGCTTTTTTTACATAAACATTAATATTTACATTTTTAGAGAAAATATACTGTCTCCTATGCCAAAATGCACCAAAAACAATGAAAATGTCGAATTTATGATACAACTAGTAATTCAGACATCAACAGCATTAAATCTCGACCTACTTATAAGGCGGACGGTCCTAAATCGTTGAACAATAGAAATTTGTCTTTAGGATAATATTACAATTTTTTATGCAAAAAAAAAAATTAAGTGTTTTGTTATATCTCAATGTCCTATAATAGTAGTATATTCCTATATTTATAAAATAATTAAGTTTAAAAAAAGGTTACAAAATAAATAATTAAAAAAGTCCTAAATTACAAATTACTACAATTAGTATTAAAGATCTAGAAAGCGATATCATTAAGCATTACAATACACTCATATTCAGACTCAGAAATGTATCTCAATAATTTACAATTTAAATTGTTTTTGTACATTATTATAAAAGTGTAACATTAACATAATTAATTATTGGACTAGGCTAGATTGGAACAGATAGATTATTAATAAGCTAGTTTAGTTAAAACAATGAGTTTAATAATTATTGTATTTCGTTTCGCCCAGAGTTGCTAATATTTCACCGAAAGTATCAAGGAATTCAGAAAAATTCAGTTAAAAAGACACCAGAACAGAAAATACTATATCATATACACTGTTTCATTACAAAAAATTGAGGTCATATAAACAATGATATTATATTTATACTAGTCATTCCATTTTACACTGAACAGCCAAATCACTTAGATTATCCGTTTTAAGTCATATTTAATACAAGAATATTTTTTTTTTCAATCACTTTTAACAATGAAAGAATTGTTAAATAAAACAAAAATAAAAAAAAACAATACCTAGGGGAAAAGTATGGCAACAGGTCGTTGAATTTATTTGGAAACTTAAAGTGTAGTAACAGAAATATGCAGTAGGTAGATTTATAAAATTATTTTACGATTAAACAGTGATAAGTATCAGTATACTGCTAACATTTTAATACCGAAATTAAAATTTCTAATGACTATAGGCCCAAATGAACCTGCCGTTTCCCCCATTACATACAAACTTCAATTTATAACACAGAGATAAAATAAAATCATACTACCACAAGAATATACATGTGCCTCTAATGGAAAAAGGGTGAATTCGTAAGAGAGAAATGTGAAAAAAATCATTCAAACAGTGAGAACACATTAAACTAAAATTAGATGTAGATTTGACTGAACGATTGTGCCTTCACTTTTGATTATTTTAATACTTAATTTCACTTATGAGCGAAATAGGATGTCCATGATTTTCCAACAGAGGCACAGATTAAAAAATCTGTACATCGATAAAGATAATGTTACCTGCTCAAACAATTCAGTTGTTCGTCGTTGGCGGCTGGTGTCGTCGGTCGAACTGGAATGTGTCGGAGAGATAGAGGCCGAATATGGCAACACTGTAGAACACCGTCAGACCGAACAATGCTACACTAGCACTTGCGGTGAACATGTTTGAGTACTCACACCTGTTTACAAATGTATTAATCAATCCCTATTGTTGCATAAAAAACCAACTAATTCTTATATCGAACCTATATAGACCTATATAGGGTTGTTGTGTAATTATAGAACGAGAAGCTTTTGTAGTTGAATATATTCCAAGAACATCAAGAAATTCTTAATGCATATTAGTGCAAAAAAGACGAGACGAGAGACGGGAAAGCTTTTATTCAATACGATTAAGGTTCCGACCTCATGTGGTGTAATGGCATACACATTACCATGTCTATGATCTTAGATAATCTTTTAACACGAAGGCCCCTGAGTTTTCTCAACCGTCCAGG